GGGGGGGGGGGGGTAGTTAATTATTTATATGACAAGGATAATCGAAGGGTCATCATTGGATGCTTTGGTTACGCTAGGCCAGGCCTCTTTCTTACGTTAGATCTTTAGATTTTACTTGCGGTTAGTTGCAGACATGCGACAAAATCCAACAACAAAAATAAATAAATAAATACGTAGAGGGACATAAAAAATATCTATGCTCTTGCCAAGACATCAGTTCCATTTTTTAAAAAAAAGGTGCCATTCTTTACGAATTTTAATATACAAGAGTATCCATAATATGGAAATGATGTCAGGACCCTACCACAAGTGAACATCCATTCACGAATGGTAACATGTAGAAGAATATTAAACGAACAATATCATGAATGAGATACGAAACAAAAAAAAATTAACAAGAAAACGTGAATTTTCGAATTAAGAAAAAAAAATCTGGACGCTGTCATAGGTACCAGTAATAATAATAATAATAATAATAATAATAATAATGATAATAATAATTCAGTGGGCTAATATAAGACAAAAAATCCTCTCACACCGAGTAATGGTAAATTGATAACCGTAATATTAATAGCAATATAATGGGATAATAGTAGTGAGTAATATTAATGACAATAGGGACAGATAATAAAAAAAAAATAATATAAACAAGAACAATCGAATAAGTTAAGTACGCGTGGCACTGAACGCCATTTTAAAACCAGCCTCTAGGAGGGACGGGTAACCCGCGTTTAAAAAAACCTCAAAATAATAAGAAATGCGAAAAAGCATTGAACAATATTCTCTGCTAATTCTATAAGAAATATATTAATTTTCCGCGCTTTCTGTACCTTTACAAATTAATTAACAGGGACGGGGGAGGGGGTAGTACGAAGAAGGGATAAATTGGATCAATTTCAAGGGTTATACTGATCATGATTTAAGGATTACGTTTTTGTTGAGTCATCAAGACAGAATAATAAGTTAATAATAAATAGAACAAGGCAAGAACGCTTGCGCTCGCGCGTCTTTTCATCCATAAAATTAATTTCGTGTTACGCTACGACTCATGAACAGTCATCGAATAAATTAATTAAATAGAAAAATCGAATCATTATTTTCATTAGTTATTTTCCTTTTTTTTTCTTTGTTATTTCCCTACTCGTTAGTTTTAAGATTTTTAGGCGGGGATCGCGCATCCCCGTCGATAAAGTACGGAAGGAGAACAGATATATTAATATTATATTAATGATATGAAAATAAGGTTAAATATACACAAAGGGATGTATGCGCAGTGTTGCGTCATAGGCTTACTCTCACTCTAATCAGGTTTGGCGAGAAGGAGGTTTGTAAAAATGAAAAATAAATAGAAGTATGAAAACAGTGAAAACCAACCCAACAGGACAGAGACTGTAAGTATTTGAGGAGGAAAAAAGTTAGATCTAGAGATAGAAAAGGCCGGCTAGCGTGTCTAAAGGCGATTGGTCCGGGAATAGTACCAGGAGAGGGCCGGTTGGTTTTGGATTTGGTTTTGACTTTGGATCTGGTGCTCTACCTTCACAGGACTCGTCCCTGCCGTCAGGAAACTGTCCTCCAGGGCCATCGATGCCGGCGAGAACAGCACTGAGGTGTCCAGACTCTTACTCTGTAATTTCAATGATTAAGGATTACGTAATTCCGCTATTATTTATGATATTAACAATGATATACACTAAGAATGAATAATAAACACAAATATTCCTCATGAAACTCACCGGTGTCTCAACGGCAAAATTAATATCCGAAGCGTCCTGAGAATTGGCCCAGGACTGACAAAGAGCCTTCCGTGCCCTTTTACCTCCGGATATGCCATTTTCTTTTCCGCGTCTTCTTCCTGTTCCATATCCGGAATCCTGGAGGATACTGCTACTCGCAAGACTTTCCCTATCAGTCTCCTGCTTGATTATCTCAGTCAAAGCATCCAGACGACTTGGTGTAGCTGGTAGTTGCGTCGCTGCACCGCTACGCCGCTCTAGCTCCGCCAGAGCATTTTTGAAAGGTGTCGGCGTCCTCGGTGTATTGCCATCTATCAAATGAAAATAACATTTTTAATTTTATTACGATTTTAGGTTACTACTTCTGGAAAAACAGGGCGCATCAAATTTCGTGGCAAATTTACTTGTTTACCTACCTGTTTGATTCCTTCGCAAACCCGTCGGTTGGGGCGTTGTAAGTGGTCCTGGACTTCCCTTGGGAGTACTCGCCCTGGGCCAGGATGTCTCTGGACTGAGACTATTGAGAAACTGCGAGGGACTAAATGGAAGCTGCTTTATTGGAGTAGATGGCGCTGTGGTTCCGACGGATTGATGCACCATGAGATAATCAGATTGATTTTCATTGTTTTCGACAGGATCCGTCGTCTGTTCCACGTCCTCGTGTTCCCCCTCCTCCTCCTCCTCCTCCTCCTTCACCTGCTGTTCTTGATGCTGTTGATGATGATGATGGTGATGATGATGATGGATCGATCTACGTCTACGTAGTATCAACGGAGGACTAACTTTTTTCTTCCGGTTGGCTGCCATTTCCTCCAAATCCGGCATTGGTAGTAATCGAATGTCCGAATTCCTGGATGTGGCTACCTCATGTGGAATTTCCAAATCAAAGTACCTAAAAATGTCACTTTTGCATTAATAAAATAATATCGAAAAAGGCACCTTTTAGTTTATACACCGTAAAGACCCTCATTCTTAGTATCCTTCACTTACTTGGAGAAGGGCGATACGTCCACATTCTTGTCATCAACCAATCCACTCCTGAGTGGTGATTCTAACTGAGTGTCCGTACTGACAATACGTTCAGCAATCTCGATCAAATTCTGAAATTGGGTACCCCCATGTTGCTGTTGTCGAGTTTGTTGTCGCTGTATCTGTTCCTCTTGCGATTGACCCCACGCCTTAGTCCAATCCAATTGCTCGATATCAAGTTCCTGAGTGGCGCTTACAGCCGTCAAGGTAGAACTGCTGTTACCAGTGACGCACGGTATACCTTGACCGGAATTTTCATCATTTTGTACAGGCTGTTCCTTTTTCGAAGCGGATACCGTTTCCATGGCTTTTCTTCTACCTCTGCCTGTCATTAAACGTCATATAAAAAAGTTGCCGTATTGATAACTAATTATTATAATAACCAGTAATTAAATGTGTACCTCTTGTACTTCCGGTCGTTCTACCTTCCTCAGCTTCGTATTTCCGCCTCATAGTACTGTTCCAATGATTCTTAATGGCATTGTCGGTTCTACCCGGGAGAAGCTTGGCAATTTTTGCCCATTGGTTCCCTACCCGACGATGCGCCTCGACGATGATCCTGTCCTCCGCTTCGGTCCAGGCGCTTTTCTTTATACCAGGATTCAGATGATTGTGCCATCTTTCACGGCACTGTTTACCGATTCGACCCTTTAAATGTCTGGCTATAAGTGTCCACTTTTTGGGTCCGTATTTTTCCACGAGTTCCACAACCTTCTCGTCTTCCTGATCAGGACCAATAAAACAAAAAAATTCCGTCAGACATATTAAATAGAGCATATCACGTCTACAGTGTGCACTATACACTAGCATCGAAGACTTTAGGTTAATACGTTCCTGACCTTGTGTAAAATTGACAGAGGTAAACGGGGCACTATGCAACTGTATAACCATAAACTCTATGCACTTGCAGCACTATGCACAGACTCCGGATAAGATTCTAGGAAACGACCCTGAGAGAAGATTCTGCACCAGGTGCATCCACCATCCTTAAGAGGAATGAATGGATGGAAAGAGAGCGAGGCGAGGAGAAGGCGAGAGAGAATCAAAGAGTAAAAGAAAAGAGGTTTGCCCTTGGCTCTGTTGCTGAGTGCATTGGCACGCTGCACAACACAGCATCACGAGCGTGATATTCTTATTGCATCGCCTGTACAGTGCACTGCGCCAAGATCCGTGAGAGTGCATTATATAGGTAGGACACCCAGTAGATTTTACGCGGGACACAGTGGAGCTGCAATCAATTAATCCAAGTAACGGGATTGCATCCCCAGCTACTAAAAGTAAAAGAAAAATAAAACTGAGATCGAATAAGTCAATTTTAATTCTAATTGAAAAACGACAACGTGCTAAATTGTAGTATACACTACGATAAGGATACCATAGGACACCGTGAGCGGCGCCTATGGCGCGGTGGAATGTTGCGTGGGAAAGCATAGCCACAACACAATCAACATAATGCACCGCACCCTTTTGTCGGTGTACTCCTCTACGGTACACACCGTTACACGCTGAGATCCAGAGAACGAAATAAGAGAAGGAGAGGCGAACCAAATAGTCAAACGAATAAACAATTAAACTAGTGCTTCCAGGGGAGGAATGCAAAAGAAATATCAAAACAAAAATAATAATAAGCGAGTACCAACTGTCAGGCTGTTACACTTCTTCCCTAGTGGTCATAGTCAGAAATCACAGTGGAAGCAACACATTCGGATAGAGAAGGAGCCTAGTCAAAAGAAGAAACCAGTTTCGTCCGGCACGATTTTCGGGGGCTTCTTTAAAGGGACCCTAAGGGGCCCCGAAATAGTCCGGGTAGACCCTTCAGGACTGTATTCCGTAGGGCCCCTTGGCCCCTTATAAAATCCTGGGTTAAAGTCCTCCCAAATATATACCAGCGGCTTCTAAAGGGAGAGAGAGAGAGAGAGAGTGAGACAGAGACAAGCTGAGTGCGAGAGAGTCCTTTTGTTTCGACTGGTCAGGATCAACCGTTGCTTCTTGGAAGTCCGTCCTGGGATTTGGACATGTGCTTACGTGTACGTACATGCACTCTTCTTCATCTGTAGTTATCTCTTACTCTACACTGCTCACCGGGCCTGACCTGCACCACGAAATAACTAACCTCCTTAGTCCAAGGACCCTTGACCAACTCGGGATTCACAACTTTGGCCCATCTTTGTTGGCACTGCACATCGCTCCTGTCTGGAAAGTGGGCTGCTACGGCGTCCCACCTTAATCCAGATCCAAGCTGATCAGCGCTGCTCACCAGTTGCTTCAACAGAGCATCCTGAAATAAGAATAATAGACACCCTTATGAATATAGATTTTCCTTAACGGGAGCTCAACTGCTTAAACTTTTAACAATTTTATTTTACCTCTTCCTTCGTCCAGCGACCTTTGTTTATATGTTTCCCCTGTCCCTGTCCCGAGTTACTTCCGAGATTTTGACTCTGATTACTTATCTGCGCCAAAGAGGAGTTCTCGCTCTCGGAATCGTCACCGCTGCTCGAGTCATATCCGGATCGTGAGCTGTAAAAAAAAAACGAGAGAAAAAGATAATTACATCCTTTCAATAGTGTTCAATGCCGAAAAAAGGGTATCTTCTATAAGAAATCTAGATCGACCAAATCCGTTTCCGGAATTTATTCTCAATCTTTGACTTCCTGTCTACTCCTGCTTTTCAGTTTTGTACAGCATGATCGAGATCCTTCGGCAAACTTCCGCCAGGATATCATGGCTCGCTGAACATTAAGCTTTTCCTGTCATTCTCACTAATTTCCTTCCCGATTCAGGACATTTCTTAAGGAGCTTCCCTCCTCTTTTTCTTCCTTCACTCCGTTCTGTTTTGTTCTTCCTTTTTTAATGTCAACGGGTACCCACCAAGAAGCAACCCGACGAAACAAACCGCATCCGGTATTTTTGTGTCGCGCAAGTGTTTCACATCTAATTAACTTCCTGCCAAAAAGGAACTTCTACCGTGCGTCGCGAATAGACCGCGAACTTCCTCTTACATACCTGAAGTGAAGAACAGGCCGAATTTCCTGCTAATTTGTGTGTGCGTGCATACATATATAGGTATACATATCGTGTTAATGCTCTTATACGTATCATGTGTGCCCACAATTCATACACAAGTAAATAGAATCTCGTTTTGGCTTGTATTTGAATATTATTCACCGGATTTTTGCGGTAAGCACTAGGAAGTCCTATTAAATGGCCTTTTCTAGCATGAAACGAAATTGTAAGTAATGAATGAACCGATGAATCTCACATAATTTTTCTTGTGATAATTTGGTCACTTTAAAAAAAAACAACATTACAACTTATCAGGCAATTATAATTTATTCACTACCCATAGATGGCAGATTAAACGGTTTTATTTCATTCGATACCGTGTTTCAACTGACACCGGTCACACACACGCCATTCAGCATATATCAATAAGATATTGAACCCCCTATTCTTACAATTTTAACACCTTTAAGTCTGGTAACTCTTTTATACACTGTGAAAACTCGGATGCATTCGACAGGCAATCATTAAAATTAGAATTCCATGTTCAAAATTTGCACAAAGATAACAAACTATTGCACTGTAAATATATATATAAATTAATAAAATTGCAATAACTCCAGAATAAAATGTGACCATAACGGTCGAAAATGTTGACAATTGAAGAAAACAATTTTCGCGAACACCTTAACAATATCGTAGTCAGTCGATTCCACGACGCTATACTAATATATCATAAAAGACACGCACGGTATAGCAAATCTAACGAAAGCATTCCAAAAAGCATAGATATTTTTAAATTTCTCATATCCCCTATAAGTGACGTAGGTACTCTATAATCACGAAAAATGAAACACAGATGGCGGTACCAATGCACTTGGCAAAATGCACGAATCCTAAGTCTGTGCAATTATTTGTTCCTTCTGGATTTTATCGGATCTCTTCGCTTGAGGAAAAATCATTCAAAAAAAAAAAAAAAAGAAAAGAAAATACAAAATAATATCTGTCACGGGATTGACAGGCGCCATGGGAACTTGCACGTGAGTTGGTTCCCCGCGCATGAGAATAGCATTCCAGCGAAGCTGTTAATGCATCAACGATGACGTAACAGGAGCGTAACGTTATCGGGTTTATGGCAGACATATCTGCGTTATCACAAATTTCTCGCTAAACTGATTACGATCCAGCGGTGAAGATTGCGAAGTTCTTTTTTCTTTCAGCTAGCAAAAGTTACGAGAGAATACGACGGAAATTCCCTAACTCATGTCCTTTTGTTTTATACCGATCACGATACCGGGGGACCCTACATCCTAGATACACCCGTAGAAGGTGGGGAGGAAGGGGGGGGGGGCGGCCCTTTAAAAGTGCGATCGATGCACGAGGCAAATGCACCCTGCCGAGGACAAAGGTATGATTATTTTCATCGAGGGTGATAAGGGCACCCTGGTGCCATCTGTGCCTGGCATATGCTTCACCATCACGATGACGATGACGACATGTGCAACCTCTGCCTCTCTATTGGGCCGTCTGTATACTACTACTCTGTACCTTCGGCCCTTCACCTATTAGCCACCTTTCCCTTCCCCGATTCGCCGTCTTTTACTAATTCCGAATTATATACCTTTTACTCCTGACTCTATCGCACACATTGCAAACCAGCCTCTTTGTCTTCAGTATGTAGATGCTACGGATGAGGAATTACTAATGGAGCCATGCTTGTTTCTCTCGTTATGCGTTCCCTCTCTATCTCTCTCTCTCTCATTTAACTACACTGGTGTCCCATGAACGTTGTTACGGGGCCTCCCCCAAAAACTATCACCAGTGTACGAGACACGCGTGGGTAAAATTTCGTCGAGGGTTTTGATGGGCCAGGGGGGTGTCATGGGACTCGAGGTACAAGGAGGATGAGGGTTGAGCGCAACACCGTGTACGCAGCTGTCCCTATGGGGGCTGTACGTGCAGGAGGGTACGAAACACCCTGGATATTTCTCTATCGATTTTACGGGAACTTCATACACAAGGTACTGCTCCTGTATAATATGGTAACGAACGAACGAAACTTGGTAGGATATCATCTTTCAGTTCGATCCTGCCTTTTTTACTATGTCACTGTTGCGCACGTTCCTTTACTTTGTACATACTCCGGATAAATTCTACAGACACGTATTATTCCCGTGTATCGCACCTAATGTGTATTTTAAAATACTTTCGTCATTATACACAGCAGTATCTGTGTTCCTTCTGCTCCACCTCTGCCTCCACCGCCGGGGCATCAGGATAACGAGTGCCTTACGTAATTTCGTGGGATCGTGTCAAACGGTCGGTAGTATCCTTGAGAATTCAAATTTTTTTTCGAACACGTGTGTGTCACGGGGTCTTACGAGGCACCGACGGACCCCGTGTGATTAACCGATTTCGCCGAAAACACCGGTCCCACGAAATCGCGAAAATTTCTAAGCTCTACATACCCACGTGCACGTACACAGCCAGAAGCCAGCTGTGCTGGAGGTAGCTGTGCTCGTGTGGCTACATTTACCTAATAAAAATCTTATAAAACGTATAGGAGGACCCGTGTGTTGGACGAAACCGCCTGAGGGAAGGATCGCGGTCTGAAACTCTCCTTAATGAGTCCGTAAGTGTGTACGCGTGTTCGTACGTGTGAAATTATTTCAGCGCGTATTCGTATGAATAGAGAGTCCAGCAAGAGATAAGGACAGAAAGAATCCATGTATATACAAGTATATACAACCCAGCATATACGGGATCATGCATGGGATTAGCGCTATAGACATATACACCGCGTACTTTTTAGGACCTCGTTTCAATCTATTTTTGTTTTTTATCTATTCCCGACATCCAAACCATCCTCCTGCCACTTTGACCTCTGGCCACGACATAAGACCCGCGCCTCCCACCCCTTGTGTCACTTGCGCACGCAGCCCAGCATGCTCCACAGTCACACACGATCTGTGTATCATTTAAATCCTGATTGTATAACTGCCGCTTGTTTATGCCAACCAAGGAATTCGCGACCGTTACAGCTCTTACCCGGGTAGACCCTAACCTTCTATATGTATTAGTCGGTCCCATAAGGCCGACAACTAGGCACATGCCGCGTTTCCTACTCCGACCACTGCGTAAGCTGCCAAATTATTCCTTTCAATTTCGCAAACGACTCAGCGGAGCCGATCCATGAGATTTACGTATACGCTTGTTATTGGCATATTTCGAATAGATATTCGTTAGATGTCCAACGAGTTCCTCTGTCTCATGGGATATAATGATCTGAACTTACAGAACTATCAGGACGCTCTACAGCCACACTGCCCATAGTGGTCAGGAAGCTAACTCGTCCTTACGGTCCTACGATGGCAGGTGCCAAGAGGAGCAGATGTCCATCGGGCCCAGCAGACTATCTGGACCCTGGCCCATTTTCTAGCACGTGCCAGATTTTCTCTCGAGGATCAATGCCAAGAGATGCGAGTGGTGTGGGGCAAGCTACATAGTCCCTTTAAAGATTCTACGCTAAGCCGAGACGTTGCGGAGGATTCTTTTGTCGGGTCCGTTTAAATTCACTATGCCTAGATAATGCGTCTGTATCGATGGGACGCTGGGAGACGGTATATGGGATGTAGCAGACACGTCAATTGGACACAATGGCCACGATCGATACGCTTGCCGAATCATTAGAAAACTTTCAAATTCACCTTGACCGATGCGATCGGAGAGGGAAACGCCGTAGCCATCGTAGCTGACGGCTGGTCGTCATTTGTATACAATATATCTTACGTTGCGAAGTTTGGCGACCGATAAGCCGTCCACGTGGGAACAAACAGAAATGCGATGACCATCTGACGAGGGATACACTGGATTCTCGTGATTCTCAAATAGAGATAAGTCTGCGCGGGAACTCTAATACGGAGGGCAGATCGGGGCATGCTGGACTTAGGTATGAGAACTAGTGAGAAAAAAGAAGAGAAGATGGCCGCGCGCACGGCATAGTAGCGTGAAGAGTGGAAGCGATGAAATACGTGAGAAAAAAAGAAGTTAATGCTAAGCAAGGGAGAAAGGGGAGGCAAAAAAGTTAAAGGTGATGGAAAGGTGAGAGGGGCGGGTGGAAACCTTCGAGGGACATCTGCGAGCTACGAGGAAGGAGAAATTGGGGGTGCCTGCCATCGGTAACGCCATTGCCATCTCCCACTCTACTCCCCCTCCCCCCCCCCGCCCTTTTTCAAGTCAGTTGTTCCTTCGGCACTTCCTTATTTCCTAACTTCCTCCGTGTATAACAGCAGCCTGACTATTTTCCCACCCTGTTACTGCCATCCATTAGTCGCCACGCTGTTAACCATTGTACAAGCGCGTATGCTGCACAGGCCGCGTAAGGTTATCAGGGCGGAAAGGGCCAAGTGTCCTCCGGGTGCGAAGGAGGAAGTACCGTGAAACAGGAGGAGGAGGAGCGCGGAGCGGAGGAGAGGAGAAGGAAAAAAAAGACAGGCGGAAGAAGAAAAATAAAAGTGGTAGGAATGAACGAGAAGGAATCGAGAGGAAGAGGAACAGGGGAGGTGGTGGTGGTGGTGATAAACCTGCTTGCACCAGGTGCAAAGGAACGGGAAGAAGAAATAAGTACCTATGCAAAGGAGGAACGGGACGTGGCACGAGTCGACGGCAAATCAGCTGTCACAGACACCCCCGTAACGTTAGATACTCCATCCCTTGGGAATTGACGGTAGAGGGGAGAGGAGGGGGAGTGACAATGAGAAATTGTCGAAAAAAAAAAATTATCTCTCCATTTTTCTCACTCCCACCAAGAAACCTCGTGCCTGTTCATACGTGCACTGCACACATGCTCTTGCATATAATAAATATATAATTAGTTTGCGTCAAGCTGGGAATTTTCATTTGGACGTGAAACAACAGGGACCGAGGATGCACCTGTTGCAATTCACAGATGTTACCAGCGAGATCGAGTCGAAAGTGACTAGTGACTCTTTCTATTAATTCCCACGTGATCCACGTAATTCCAGATATTTCCGGAAATCGATAACTATACGCGTTCACGCGTGCATATATGCATAGCTCTGTTGATTTTTCGAAGCGGCATATTACGTGTTCATTCTTACGAATCGCGCATCCCATTCTAACGAGACTCGTTTCAGCTCCCACGCGACTCATGAATGAAAAAAACTCTTCATTCACAAATAAAGGAGAAATGTCGGAGTAAGGAAAAAAAGAAAGGAATAAGAAGGCGAGGGAGATAGAGAACGTGCGAGCAAACGGAAAGAAGTGAGAGAGAGAGAGAGAGAGAGAGAGAGAGAGAGAGAGAGAGAGAGAGAGAGAGTAAGAGAGTGAGAGGACGAACTGATTCATCCAGCCTGACCGCCAACCCGTAACAGTTTCCGTTACTTATTTAATATAGCTTTTTTTAATCCCTGACAATTCTCGAGCGCGACAATATTTTCACTCCGATACAATTTCTCGTCGTTCGCTACTTTCTATTCGATCCTACAATTTCGTCCAGCTCGTACACGTGGAAGAATACAGGACAAGTTATAGAGGGTGACGACTTTGTATATTTCGATATAGTGCTATCAGTCTTCCATATTATAACAGTCATCATTTATAAATACGTATAAATACGTGTACGACAGGAGGCCACAGTGCACGATTGTATACTTAAATATATCGAGAGATAATCCGCAGCGAATATGCGATAAGATGATACGCCCCCTCGTTTGTATGGGATAATATCCATAAATTATCTATACTCATCATGGGAGGCCACAGTCGCATACGACGTAGAGTTACGTATACGAGTGTATACGAAGAAATTTAATAAAAAGGGGTTAAGGGGGGGGGGAGGAGGGTGAATCGATATAAACGCGGAAGCCAAGTATCTTTATAGAAATATCGAGTACGCTCGTGGTGTATTTTATGGGATATGCGAGTGCGAAGGTATACGGGGTGGGTATGGGGAGGAGTGAGGGGGACTTGGGTGGTAGAAAGCAGGGTGTAATATATAAGCCAGGGTGGTTTAGCGTGGAGTGCAGTAGAAGACCCTTACGAGACATCTGGCCACCACCTGCCCTGATGCCCATGGAGTATTCTCGCACGCGGCCAATTTCCACCCCATAGGAAAGGTCCCGAGGATGGGGACTACGCGTGTGCAAGTAATGCCTGTGTATGGGATAATGCGTGAGTATGCGTCACCGTGGAATACCCACGGTCCCGATTCTATGGGGAGGGTGGAGCGGGGGGAGGAGGGGTACGCGTAAAGGCAGCGCGGACATTTACGAACTGCGTATATATCTATATGGGGCATGGACTGCGAAGTAATGCTATGGTGTGGTACATATATGGGGGATGTGAAAAGGTAAAAAGGCGGGAAGTAGCAACCCTCGGGATTCATCCCCCCTTATGGTATAATGTATACCTATATGGTAGTAAGAAGGTATAGGACTAACCAACTCATCGGTACCGATGGAAACCCCATGCTCGTTCCCATGACAAGTGCGATCTGCCGCTTTTCCCCGTGAATCCTTAATTCGCACCGTGGGAATTTTTCATTAGGGTGTCCGATGTAGGACCTCCGATAAATGATGGTTTTAGTAATGAAAATAAATACAAATTCACCTGGTGGGCATCCCATGTACTGACGTGGAACACCCACGTAACCTTATGGTGCCAAGAGGCGAAACCTCATAGTCTCATTTTCGCACGGTCTCGTATTCCATACGGTATTTCGGGGTTACGGTATATCACGTATGTGCTGTGTATATTTTATGTATAGGTATATGAGACATTACGGCGGTATGAAAATTTACCCCATACCAAAAACTGGCCGAACTCACCGCGAAAGTGTATCTTTCATTTTCTATTCCCCATAACCCTGCCAGGGGAGTCGAATCGGGTACCGCGAATTCGATACTTTGGGAAGGTACCTAGCCCATGGGTGGAGAAGTGCATGCATTGTAAAGAGTGAACAAAAAAGAAAGTTACAAAACGCCTTGAGAATACTTGAGACAATCACGGGGATGCTATATCGAATCACGAAGGGGCATATACAGGAGGGTATAGACTTACCCGAGTAAAAGAATATGGGACGGTGTGAGAAGTACACGAAATCAAAATCATAGCTGTGGTGAGGGTTTCGTTAAAAGAGATTTATATTAACAAAATAACATTTTATGCAAATAAGTGTATTCCCTGTCAGTGTTCGTTACGGTGTACTATAAAAATATCGTCTATTAAGTTATGAATCAAAATATTTCCAAAAAATCTTGACAAATTTTTAAAAGATTTCAAAATAAAGAATTCCCGGAAAAATGAAGAATTAGAAGAAAAAAAACAGCTTCCAAAAACCAGGTTGGAGGGAGGGCAGATGCACGCAATCAAGGGTGACTGTCTCGCGTGGACCAATGCTAGGAGCAAATGGACGGAACCCCCAAAGACTCCCTCGAGGATCGAAAATAAAAGAGAACCTGGCGTTCCCCCGGAGTTTTATCCCATACATACACGTGCATATACTAAGCCCGTCCCAGACGTAGGATATCCCGTCTAAGAAACAACCCCTTGGCAAATTTACAATTTGGCCTTCCAAGTCTCACCCCAATGTGCCCAATATGAGAGGAGATGCGTGCGTTCACGTGTTCACATATGTGTGTACGTATATGCTCGCCGCTGGGAACAGTGTATTGTTCAAAGGAGGGTGCAGCTGCTATCAGTCTTCGGGAACCCTCGCCAAGGGTTGGACACGTATGGAAGCACGGTGTGCGTGCACAAGCTTGTAGAAAACCACGTGTCGAAATAAGACTCCGAAAAATCTCCCTTACAAATTTCATCGAAAGAGAAAAATATCTTCGAATGATTTTCTCCTTTAGAATTGTATGTGTATAAATATGACGTAAATTTATTGACAAAATTAAAAGATGAGCGATGGAAATTAAAAAAAGAAGACAGAAACAGAGGGACAGACGAAGAGTGTGTCGACCACATTAACTTAATTCCTGTTCTGAGAAAGAAAGGAAACAAAAAGAGGGGAAAAACATTTTAAATAAACTTGAGAGAAAAAGATCTAAAGTAACATAATCGACAAACAAACGGAAACCATTGACGAGGATCGCATGCTAATCAATTCCGGTTCTTCTAAGTGGCTTGATGTTAGGACACCAATACATTGGCGAACTGTTATACGTTCCAAGTTTCCGGATTTCGTTTGAGAGAACTGAAATCGATTATTCATAAGAGATGCTGATTATTCCTGTTATCTGAAAAATCTAAAAAGAGAAGAAAGAAATAATAAAAAGAAAGACTGACAATGAGTCAAAGGATTAGGTCATTTAAAAGGAACAAGATCAGAATCCTGTCCAGGAATTCTAACCGAAAAAAAAGTTCCAGGAGAATCGGACATAGCAACACGTGCTACTAGAAGAGGTGCGCTCACATATGACCTTCTATATCTGAGAATCGCTTTAAATTACATATATAGGTGTGCTATATACTATACGACGTTACGTGTATGCGCCTGCTATACCACAACCCGTTATACGTCCAAGAGGCAGAGACGTGCATACTCACGTATATATGCACACGCGAGAATAGCGTCTGAATGCACATACGACAAATGTAGTCACATGTGTTTATACGTATTAAGGTAGTACAGAATAGGCATACAAAATGACTGAGAGAGATATAACATTAGAAAATTTAGAGAAGCGTCCCTAGAAGTTACGAGCCAAGCTAGATATTGTATATAACGTAAATGGAGGTCTCAGCGTCGACAAAGAGTAAGAAAAAAAAGTGAACACAAGTCCTACAATCGGCGCCAGCGATAAGACAGCATCCTTTTGATATCAATATTGAAACAGTGACTTCCGGTATGACCTACGTATCCCAAGAAACATTTCTACATACGAGTATTAATGTTGTGTTTAAAATTGTTATCAAGACTCGTGAACACTGTAGTTTCTGACAATAATAAAGCAGAAATTCTGTATTATTAACACATTGCATAACACTGAGAAAATTGGAGCATACAAAGGACACAGGATATCGCAAGGATTTTAAGGTTATGCTAATGAAATACAATGTGACTTACGCTTCAGTCGGTGGTGGAGAATAAAATGTTGAATGGTACGAGGATATATCCACGACTTTAGCTGGTAGAAGAACTCCACCCGGTATTAATTCCATCCTTGAAGGACCTGGCCGAGCAACGACGCAATCCTCGAGGACTCTTCGCGCGTGATACAGCTAGACCTTCCAGCAATGACTTATCCGAGCACAATCATTATAGCACCGAGTAAAACTCTTCACAAACACTTCCCATAATTCATTACGATCTGCCTCATGTATCCTATTGTTACTCTTTAGTCGAGCTTCTTTGACGATTTGCCGAACGTCGAATTGTATTTCTCTTGTTTTCCAAGCTTCCCGGTATCTTCCAGTGTTGCCAGTAGACAGTAGCACAATAAATTTAGTAGGATAGGAAAATAATGACCGCGAAAAACAAATACACGAGGAGAGAATCCCATGCGCAACGAGAGTGCAGAGAATTTCAATCTCTCCTGCGTGCTTGAACGCGTACATAAAATATATAACGTAGCGCGGGAAATTCTTGTAACGGTTACAATGTTTGAATGTTTGTAGGGTAAAGAGCACGTCGATATCAGTGAATTTAAATGTTTGACGTCGAGGATAATATATCAAAGAGATTTCCGGTCGCCATACTTTGTTGTCTGTTTACAAGGAAAACGCGTTTGTGTTGTTACAGAACTATCAAGAAAGGAGAAGGAAAATCATCAAGAACCCTCGACGCGCCAAACCATCCAGTACAGTGGTCGGATTCCAACTAAGGGTACCTACACCGCTTGGTCAGGGTCTAAACGAGGCGGGAAGGGCTAGGAGCAGTTAGAGTGGGGGAAGACACAGGCCTGCGTATCCCCGTGTTAGAAGGGACGAATACGAAGCTGAACGAACACCCACGGAAAGACACGAAGTTCTGGAGGGATGTTGCCGCACTGTGAAATAAAAAAGGGAGACTCCCCACCATAGCGATAGAGTCCATGGTAGGCCGACGGTATAGTGTGGTACTACACTACCACGTCTATCCTATCTGTCGAGATATTATTTCATTTAGATGTGTTCGTAGTCAGCCCGCACAGCATTTCACGGCGTCACGACACATACCGGCACATACGACTTCTTCTCCTACGTGGGAATCCATGTGGAGACAGCCGAAGAATTTCTTTTAAACTTTTATGTATAAGCCATACACAGTCCGATCGGGCGACAGGTTAACGAAGAATACTTTTTCACGGCTTTATCATATATATACGACATAACCTCAATATCTTTAGGATATTATAGAAAAATCGAGGACGTCGATGATATGCTGAATGCATATTTATAACATGTATCTGCACAATATACGTCGATACGAAATCTCTAAAGCCACCGGAAGTCCCTGTTGGGTATTGATGCAAGATGTGCCAAGTTTTACGGTACTATTGCGGTGCGGGCTTTGTTATCCTCGAAGAAAAATAATGCGAGGTTATGATTAAAAGAAAGATGAGGATCGAGTCGAGGAGGGAAGAAGGTGATTCAAAAGGATGAAAAGTAGCCCGTGTATTTGCCCGGCTGTGCGTGCGCATGGTGCCCGCGCAAAAGGCGTGAGAGTAAAGAGTAAAAGACTGATTGTGAGTAAGAAGAGTAAAAAGGTTCGTAGGAAGCTGCAAGGCCTTTCGCGGTCCATTGTCCGAATGCTGGGAACCGGTCGGTTCCATTAGAATTGTGCAAAAGAGCGCATCCGGTGAATTGACCCGCGAATTACTCGAGCATCTTTGTTTTCTCAGTCAATTTAGAGTCTTTTGAATATATGTATTGCTGAAACAATATGCAGATGATAGGCTTCTTTATATATTACACGAATATAATGGGTATATGACACGTGAATATATATGGAATATACATATGTGATCCTTGGAGAAGGCCCAAGGCGATGATTCTTCGCGTGAGAGATTTCTCTTCTAAATTCGGACTAACCCGCCAGATACTCAACGATCGAGTTTCTGCGTTAAAACATTACTATTTCATTACTCCACATTGGCCACCCGCAGAGGTCCGCACGTGGTTAGAAACGGAGTCACCCTCCTTAAGATTTAGCCCTGTCCCTTCGCTGGAAAAACTCCCTCCCACTCAGTTTCTCCTTTCCTTGACTTTACTTTTGAACGTCAAAATAAACTCAATCTCGGACCACGTGACTGTTTGTAAATATTACAAAAACGGAGCAACGCCGTGGCGTGCTTCTCTTTTATTATTACTTCCTTTTTCTCCTATTTATTTCTTACTGTGTTTCTCGTGCGGCCACCACACGGGCACGTGGGTCCATTTAAATTTTGATTGCTCAGCGATTTCCGTTCTCGAATCACGGATTGTTGATGAAATTTAAACGCTGTGTCGACTTACAGGAATGCGTCACAAAACAAACAGACAAGGTCAAAAATAAAAAAAATTTAGGCGAAATCCATCATCGGCATCTCTCGCCATATATTGAATGGACAAATCTTACTCGAAGGACAAGCGCCAGGCAACCTCCTTGGAAAAGTTGGGACAGGTTCATCTCATGGAGGTGGTAAGGTTTCACATTCCAGGTTCTCATTCATTAGCAAACGAGTGTCGTACGTCACGATAGACGTAGAAAGAGAGAAAAAGTTCCCAGATTAAAAAAAAAAAGATTAAAAATCCTATAACCCCGTAGAACGACCATCGATTCACAAGGACCGCACTTCAATCATTGATAAGCCTTCATCGCGTGGAGAACCTCTGTTCATGAGAACTCTGAACGTACTTACGTAAGAAAGCACCATAATTTCTCGAATTCTAACGCGCGGCTTCCCCGTGCCCCCACCACCGCCATAGGACCACATCTCGGACACAGGAGTATAACGAGAGAGTATGGGAACTAGTTTCACATACATGCGGATGCGTCTCTCTGTCTATGCATACATATAATACAGTATACTATATGTATATCGGCCTAGTCCTATCCTTTGCCATTGGTCCCTATCTACTTTCCTTAGAGGCGTACTCCCGTTAGCCCTTGTGGAAGAAAATCCTATGGTGATTCAACAGGATAATTGAGGAGAGAAAATTTAAAAATGTACACTTTATAACGCACCAGTCTGTATATGGTCTCACGAAAAATCTTCATATGCGGAAGAATTTATGGTTTACGTCCATAAATATAGTATGCATATGTTGTATACCGTATATGAAACTGACTTTATTATTTCATGGGAGGTTCCTCGTGTTTACGAGTTAGCGGAGCCAAGTGCTCAAGAGAGTCAAGTAGTGTTGCGTCAAGCAGATGTGGCTCTCGCGGGCGAATAAAAAAGAAAAGAAGTCTAACACGAGAGAGAAAGAAAATTTAATGCGTGTCGAACGGCGGCACGCACTAGACTTCACTAGAACAAAGAGCTGGTCAGTTAAGAACGTAAGCATCGCTCTATCCCTTCTGCGCGGGTATTATGTCATAATGCGAGAGCGAACGGTGCTTAATATCGTTTAGGGTGTTTAGTCTTTTTACATTGACCTCATAGGATCTCAAAGACTTACTTTTTGAGGTCTTGTTCAAGACGATAACTAAATCGCTAACGTTTACGGTATGTGTATTAGTAAGGAACAGTCTTGGAGCTAATTAACAGAAATTCCAAATTCATAGAAAGCACAGTAGATGTTGTTTGCGTAGTAGCAAGATGTACGTCCATGTTTCGTATGAATAATAAAATAACTATCAATGTCATTTTCGATAGTGAACGATAGATAGATCATTCTATCAATACAGCAACGGTAACATGGCGCTCGAGCAACAGTGAGGTCTATTGACAAATCTCGCTCACTTCCAGGAACAGAAAGAGTCTTTGTCCACACGAGAAAAAATTAGCAGAAGCGTTTCCTGCGTGGTAAAGGACGTGGGGACTTGGAATTCCTGCATACGATTATCATCCTTGACAGAGTGATCGTGGCGCTGCTGTAGGCAGTGTTGGTGAACGGAGACCCAGGCCCACGAGGAAGCCGTCTATGAGGACGATGTGGAAGAAAAAGTGCGGGAAGTATGAAAAAGAGAAGCCAAAAGGATTGAATGTAGAATGGAAGGAAAAAAACAACATAATAATAACAAGGGGGAAGAAGAAGATGGAGTTGAAGACTTCCTAAACATTGTTACTGCGAGGATGACCCTGCACGTTGGTATCGTCTCTATCACCCTAACCTACATTCTCTCGTTCCTTATCCGAGTCCCGTGCTTTATCTGCGCATGCGCACATCACGAATTCAATGATCTGCCCGTGAGAGAGTGCACACACGACTCTGTCTGAAGAAGAGACAGCTAGTCACCCATCCAACTAGCCAGCCATCCAACCAGGCAGCTGCCCCGTTTGAACCCTCTGTGCGTGCTTCGGGCACATATACACAAAATGTACACGTGACTATATATATATATATATATATTCTCAACATATACAATATCCGACTACACTACATACTCGCCAAGAACCAGGACCGCTCGATTGTACGTGTGCGTGCGAGTAACATGCGTCTGTTTGTCCTTCCGTCCTCACTCGGTTGCTATGCGGGACCGCGTGCTGACGTCACGTTCGTATCTTCCAAGGGGCAATTTAATATTGATAAGTGGAAGTGTTAAATTGGCGACCTCCACAGAGAGGACCGCTAGCCTCGTCAACTGGAGCACATCCTATTCCTGAGGAGGAGTTCCTGTTGATTAAATAGATATAGAAAAAAAATAGTTGCTCTAACCTCAATCTTTCAACCAATGTTATCTCTATCGAGAAACTCACGTAGAAAAATGTCGCGGTTTATACTGACATACTTCTTTCAGGGGGTACGAGTAAGATTGAAGTTGAAAACGAGGATGGTGGTTATCTTTCTGGGTAGGAATATGCTCGTTGATAGGATCCACGAGGATCGTCTATTATGCGTGTATTTTCTAACCTATGTAAACGTATACACCTGACCCTGTGCCTCTCGCATTCTCTTTTCGTATTTTCTTTATGAAGAAAGCCGACCCCTTAACGCGCACTACCTTTTCATGCTGTACGTGGACACACTATACCTCCTGGTGTTCTGTCTTCCTTGGTATCCTGGATATTGGATACACTGAGTCCATCGGGTACTTGGATTCAGAAAAAATGATCAAACTTGGGAACAACATGCACACCATATTCAAGGTGTATGATTTAGTTAGTACCCTAAGGCATAAATATAAATCAAAAAGTAAATCAACAGCGAAGCGTAGGAGAAAGTCATAAAAACAATTGTAATTATAATTTATTTTGGGCAGAAGAAATAATAACATTCCGTCAAGCCATATCATCGCACGCTATTTCTGAGCAACCTTTGGGGACAGCGAATTTGGCATTAGGCATTTAGCGAATTATTTAGATAAGGTTTACAAAAGTTTAACAGTATTGTTACCTGAAGACATCTAAGTCAATAGGAATTTAAAATGTATTTTTTTTACATAGGTAGTTCCCGAACGCCACTTCTCTCAGTAACCACCTGCCGGATTTAACGCGCCTGCAACACGTTCATACGCTTACCGCGGCGCGTTTGACAATTGCATATGCGTAAGGGGTTGTCTTACGGACAGTTTTGAAAATAAAAGAAAAATCGGAAACCCAAAAATAAGAGAAAAGAGAAAAATGGCGGGACCCGTTCTAGTCACGGTTACGGTATTCGCTCGAGACTCGCAGACGGGTCTCAAGGAGGGTCCAGGTCATTTTCTGGATCCATCCTCTATATCCGGTAAGGAATTTCATATTTTGTTCTCGTGAAATTATCTAACGTGTTTGTGCATGTCTCTATTTTATCCCTGTACCTATCAAGTAAATTTTTTTTATATTATATACCGTGTAATACGAAAAAATTTAAAGAGATAAAATACATAATATAATTATGCATACTTAAAACGATAAGTATGCAACATACAACATATATGTAATACTCAGAAGGATAAGTATGCAAAGCTGTGATTGTTAATTAGTTAGGTAGAAATCATAAGCCAGGAAAAAAAGAAAAAGTCTTACATTGTAAAATAAAAGAATACTTTAGGACAAGATACATTACGGTATTCTAGGAAACGTATATTGGTGGAATGGACCACTCACCGAATTAGGTAAAACTGCATTGCGATCAGCAAGACATTATTTTGTCCTTGTTTTCTGGGGGTCTCAATATATGGACTCGTGGTTTGCCGCTCGTTGTTGTCCTGCCGGTAGAGTACAGTATGCAGTAGCAGTTGCAGCCGTAGCAGCATCAGACTTTGGCGGGATAACGATAAGCAATTTTCCCAAGATGGCTGAGACTCACCCTTCGTCACGTTCTGGAATCACTATTTTCGTGCTATTTCCTACGTCCATTGGGAACAACGTCGTGATTATCGCGGACGTCCTTCACCGACACAGCACGAATAATTTGTAAACGATACTAAATTTCGCATCGATGTTATTAAAGCTTGTATAATTAAATTCTCTTTGGAGCTTGCTAAGCGAGTGTCGCCGATTTGTTTACACAAAGGATATTTCTATTCTCCGCGTGACAGTGTACCGGCAGCCGGAGCTAATTTTTGCGAACATCGCATAGGGGTATATACTGGAGACATCTATTTGGTCGCAGTGTAACTGCAAGAGGCAAGGGTCATGAATAACTATCGACACCGGGTATATGTTTCCAAGTGCGTTACCAGTTGTAGTTTATAAGAATTGAGCAACAAGCATTCAATGAAATCTGTCGAAGGAAATATGGGGCTTCAGAGCCTTAGTATGGACAAAAACCAGACTTCTTATATACATCGATATTATACTTCAGAGGCTCGTGTTGTGTTGCATTGGAAAAGTTTCAGAGATTAGCTGATAGATCGTACTATTTCTGTCAAGTTTCTGGCTTCTGTAATAAATACATCATCCTGTTATATTAAATTATTTATTAATTTTAAAATTCAATTTTGTATGAAGTACTCGGTAGTTCTAATCAGTTTGGCTAAATGTTACGGCTAAAAGGGTATCCTGGTTCCAAATAATTTCACTTCGTGCATTGTTGGTCACCGCAGTTTTCAAAACCAACGATAGAGCATGATTGGACCATATTTATGAACACCACATAAATTTTGCCAATAGAAACTTACGTTAGGGACACTTATTAGCTAGAGTGATAAGGTGTCAAAAAGTGAACGATGGCGGCTAAGCCGTTTTGGCATGTTATGGAATGTCAATCGGAAGAGAAAATTCATAAATAGTGGTAAGACGAAAGTGTTTTCGTGTTCAGCAATGGCCACTAAAGAAACTGTCAGTGTCGGTGATGGCATTGCCGAACCAGGAATTGAACCTGGAGCATCGGCTGAGACTATGCTGGTTACCACTGACAGCTTTGAGGAATATGAACAGGAAATGAGTAGCAGTATAGATGACAAGCATATGAAGGAGAGCACGACAAGTACGATTTCAGAAATACAAGAGGAAGTTCAAGACATTCCTGTAACACCTACGCCAACGAGTCCTGTGGATCTTAAGAAGGTTGCATCACCCGATGATCCTGAGTTGGTACGTTGCATAACCTCTGTCTTTATACTTGGAATGAGTTTTCACTTTTTAAAAAAATTACTTGAGGATTTTGACACTCATTAGTTACTGTGACACAATGTGCCAAGGGTCGCAAAGTCATCGATGAATCATTATTATAACACACTTTTAAACTACTTGGTTTAATTTTATTATACGTGTTATTTTAATATCTACTTTATTTTGAACTTGCAGTTTCAAGATCTATATACATTGATAAACTTGTTGTTTGGTTTAACAAAAAATATATTAGTATAGCTAAATATTACACACATTATTTGTTTGTCTGTAAACAACCTGTTATGTTTGTAGCATACTATATTGAGACACAGCAGTCCAAAATTAGTGTCTAAGATAATTTCTTAATAATGTGATTCTCTTGCTCTGGTTTTCTAGGAGGATATTTCTTATCAGTTTGGTCAGACTAGCTTGGATGTTGATCCACTGAGAAGCAAAGCATGGTTAGCACAGAAGAAACATGTTTTTGTTTTAAGTCAAGCTGGGAAACCTATATATTCTAGACATAGTTCGGAAGATAAACTAGTTACTGTTATGGGAGTTATGCAGGCGTTAGTATCATTTGTCCAGGACGGCAATGACATGATAAGATCTGTGCACGCAGGCGATACAAATTTCGTTTTTGTTGTAAAAGGACCACTAATTTTAGTGTCTGTATCCAAAACATTGGAAAGCGTACCACAACTTGTATTACAGTTGACGTATGTACACCTTTTCACTTTCTCCAACATATTCTAGCTACAACACTTTTTCAGTATTGTAACTTATTTCCATAAATATTTACAGATATGTATATAACCAAATCCTCTCCGTTTTAACGCAGTCACAGTTAACAAGAGTTTACGATCAGAGAAGAAACTTTGACTTGCGAAGGTTGTTAACTGGCAGTGAAAGACTGATAGATCACTTGTTGAACTTTATGGATCGAGAGCCAGCATTCTTTCTAGGTGCTGTTAAGTGTTTGCCTCTCTTGCCTTCAATGAGGGATTCCATTACACAAACAATTGTTCAAACTTGTGGTAAAATTAAGGTAAATCGTGTTCAAAAATGTATTCATACAGATAACTGTATTCTCCTAAAACAAGCTTCAAATGCAACGACTTTTGGACATGAAAAAATATGTTGAACGTTTTCAGAATCTTGTGTTTGCGATACTTCTAGCTAACAATCAATTGGTAACTTTAGTCAGAATGAAGAAATATTTTATACATCCGGCAGATTTGCACTTAATTCAAAATTTGGTCGATAGTTCGGAATCATTTAAGAGTGCTGAAAGCTGGACACCAATATGTTTACCAAAGTTTGATTCTAATGGTTTTATGCATGGTCATGTGTCATATCTGGCGGAAGATTGCCAGGCCTGTTTATTGTTGCTCACTGTTGATAGAGATGTATTTTTTACACTCTCTGACGCTAAACAAGTAAGTCTCAAAATAGGACTCTGTATGCACAGTCTTCAAAATATTATTAAAGCTATCGCATACGTTGGATCTACAAGCACTTGCATCTGAGTAAAGAAATTACTTGTCTGCAGAAAATAGTGGAAAAGTTGCGCAGAACAAATTGTTTAGAAGCCATAAACGAGTCTATGAACAAAACGTCTGTAACTACCGGTGAAATTGGCTTGCCTGAAATGAGGCACGTTTTGTACAAGTGTAGGAGTACAGCGCAATTTTGGAGCCCTGGCTTCCAATCACCCTACACCACTGATGAAGAAGTTGAGAGGTAATTGAAACACTACAGTAAAAGAATACGCATAGTTTTTAAAAGTTTTAGAATCAATGACTTTTTAATTTTAGATTACTTGGATTATACCAGTGTCTACATCATAGACTGCATGCACCTAGTCGACCGTTGAAATTAATATTCCAACAGTTAGATAAGGAAACTATGTTAGCATGGGTAAGCTAATAGTTGAATTCTATTCCAAATTCAGTAGAATTTCATTCATCATGAAAATTCTAATACTATTAGCATATATGTATATAATGTCGATGTGTAACTTTAATTTCAGGTGACCTCCGGATTCGAACTATATGTAACGTTTGAGCCTCTGGTGACAAAACCAGATGCTATAAATTCTGTAAGCAAATTGTTGAAGTGGATAAAGAAAGAGGAAGAAAGATTATTTATTTTGAATTCACCGACATTCTAACGTTTATATGAATATAAAAGAAAATACTCGTCCAATAATACGATCAGCCTTGTTCGCGCTCTCGAAACCGTATTAATGTATGCAACGTTGATAAAGGCAATTGAACAAATGTATACGTTGTGTACAACATGTAAAAGAATTAATCAGATGTTAGGGAGACTTAGAAATGCTAGAATTATACTATAACAGAGGTCAGTCCTCTATAACTGGCAACAGCATCATACAAATAGGTAATACCCAAGTGTTAAATTGAATAACTCAGAATCTGTATTTAGAAGGCAAAACTATTAATACCGTATTTTCGAAGTATCATCAACAAATAGATCATTTTTATGGAAGGAAATTTTTTCTATGGAATTGTCACTAGAATATTTTATGTACGCATGTACATCATACTTTGCTCACTATTTTTAATTATTAAAGGAGCTCAGATTTTTAGCCAAGCGAATCGTGTACTTTCATCTGCGCTTTTCGTTGAAGTTGCCCTTATACATTCCACAATTGTGTATACCGCTGAAGTCAAAGGCGCAGAAAGAAGTATCAACTTTGCTTCAAGAATTCGAGCCCGATTTATTATTGTCATACATAAATTAAAATGGAACGTATAAAGATATAAATATTACAAAACGTCATGGATGCAATGAAAAACAATTGTATTTCTAGATAGGCTATGATATTTTCAAAGTATTTTATTATGAGCAGCTTAAAAGTACCGCTATTATGTTGAAAATCTGTACTTTGAAATGTAAAAATGTTATGTATACGTGTCTGAAAAATTTAAATAAAAAACTTCCTTGCTATCGTAAAATAAGTAAATGTGAAACAGATTTTCAATATAATGCTAGTATTTATAATGCTAAAATTGTTATAACGTATCCTTCTTGGGTTAACGCACTGATTCTAGAAGATAATGATAGTCAATGCATTATCCGGAATCCATGTTCATACTCATTCACAGTGTACGGGTATGCTACTAAGTAGCATTTATATTAATAAATATGATTTTAATATTTGTATGTAATAATCATTTGCATCATCGCAATACTGTCACCTAAAATTTGTAGATGCGTCAAGTAATTCTCATACAATTTTATTTTTTTTACACAATTTACATTAAACGGAAAAATTCTGGAATATCATTTTCAGGGCCCATAAAATTGAATACAGGGTTCAATACCGCGCTCTGTCACGGTCTCGTCTTCGATCACGATCTCTGTCTCGATCTCTATCGCGGTCATCTCTACGATGTCGATCCTTATCCCTGTCTTTGTCTTTGTGGGAGGACGAATGTATTTTTGGTGATTTACTACGTTTCCTATCTCGCCTGTCTCTGTCACGATCTCGGCTTCTAGATCTTTGTTTTTCTCTGTCGGATTTCTTTTCGGAGCGAGAATGTCTCTTTTCACGGTCTCTGTGACGTTCCCTTTCCCTTTCATAATCATCAGGTCGTTTACGTATATCCTCTTTAATTGGTGGGATTTCTTCATCTTCTGAAGACTCCATTCCCTCATCCATATCATCCTCCAATGCTGAGACTTTAGCTTCTAAAAGTATAAGAAGTACATTTGAGTATTTGTATTATTACATTTAATTTCAAAAGGGATTTCATAATAGTTATCTTTCATTGTACAAATAATTACCTAATTCATTATTTTCTTCTAAAACATGACGCTTTTGTATCCTTGGTAATATCACGTCACATGATCTTTCTTCTCTTAGAAGTTCATCGATGAACTCATCCATGTGAACCAATTCAAATTGACCTTGTTTATTTTGCCTTCTTAGTTTTCTATTATCATTAAACAATGGTTCCAGGTATTTGTAACAATCCAAAGACGTTCCTGTTAGCCTCATGTACAATGCCCCAAGTGCTCTGACGTACTTAAATTCCTCATTCTTTATGAATTCCACTATGATGTCTTTTTCAGGTTGAATTTGTAACATCTTTAGTATAAGACAAAGAAATGGTGTTGGTTTTACATTACCTCCAAATACGCCTCCAATGAATCTGTACATAAATACGGAAATATATATCTAATTTTGACATTGTCTACTATAGGTTATTTTCAGCATGCAAAATCTTTAATTAATCACTGAATTTGAATTACACAGTGCAAGGAAAAATGATTAATACACAAACAGCCAAATTCTTTACTTTATTAATATTATTTTCAAGCTATTGTGTTTCTAGAACTGATCATAAAAATTAATAGAAAATAAATGTTTTGGAACAATGTCCAAGTATAACTATGCAAACCTCAATTCCATGGCTTTGTCGACGAGGAGTTCTGCTGTTAATGCAAAACATTCTTCTTTCCAATATTTCGAATCGTATATACGAGATCTTATGATTTTTTCCACTAAATACTGTGGATTTGTCCCGCGAATGGATTTAGCGTCTTTTACCGTGCGGTTCGCCATTTCTGAGATCGCCGGAACTGAAGGTAAAAATGTAGGGATCTAATTAACCAGCAAATGCTGGCCAACGTAATAAACTACTAACTAGGGGTGAAAATAAAAAATTACAGTTATATATGTAAATTATATTAGGAAAATATAATTTATCGCTTCAAATTATCAGGAAAGAACATTTCTATACCAATAATATTTTTTAAACAAAATCTTGTCACATTTCCTTATTTTCCATAAACATTATTTGTAAATTCTAAAGGTCACTGATTTAATTTCCGATTTGTAATCGCAGAATAAACTCGGGCGCAAAAAGAAAGTTCAAAAAGTCCAGATAAACGTAAGGAAAATATCAATCATTCCCCTACTTTCAGCTCAACAACAGATTTCGCGTTGGAGTATCGCAAAAAATGCAGCACACGCACATTTCTCAAATTTCTAGATCGCTGAGCACATTCGTATGGATATATGTCAATCCTCACGTGGAATACGTGCGAGAGTTTATATCAGGAACATTCATCCTAATTTATAATTATCTCCATACACAATAAGAACATCCTTTCTCCCGTGTCTTTGCACAGATAGTAATTAGTTTGTCTACATTTAACATGACGTTAATTCAATTAAAAAAATGTATTAAATTACAGAAAAAATATAACGATATATCGTAAGAAAAGTGAACAACTTTTTAAAACAATGTGAAAAAAACACTGAAAAAAAGCACTATTTGTAGAAAGAGAAAACTATGTGCGCAAATAATTTGATGATTGTTTCTCATCCACAATCGGTTACAAAACTAATACATTCATAAAGAGAAATCAGAAAACTGATAGAAGCCTAAAATAAGAAGTAGCATCACTTTGGAATATTTTGACCATCTATGCATTCCCAGCAGTGTTGTTATGTATGTATAGTATCATACTGGTATAGTCGTTACAGACTGTGTTAACTTGTGTCGCCGTCTAAGCCGGAGTCCAACGACGTGTATTATAATAAACATAGCATCCCTACTCCGACTGCCATGCCTTTCCCTGGCAAGTTACTTTGAGGCCCACAAGGCCCCATTCAGTAGACTGTCTCACCTGGCAACCTTACCTCACCCGGGCAGCCATCTTGATATCGCCGTGCTTTAAGTGCCCTCCTTAAAGTGCATATTCTGTTAGGAAAACAACGCGTGCAGTTTTGCCAGAGATTGTACAGAATAATGAGCTTGGTGCATTAGGCTGCAGTTTCAGTGCATCGCGAGGACCAGCAAGAACCGACGTGACGCGCAACGTTCGCAGTTATACCAGTGGATTTTAATTAAAATAATTAATACAGTTATATTTCTCTGGAATAAACAAAGTTTCCGCTTGATTATTGAAAGTGTCTTGATATTTTTGATTACCTCCGTCATACTGGCATCAGGAAAACGGAACGAACTGTTGCATTGTACTGGGAGTTTTCGTTGTTTGATTATTCACGGGAATTTTGAAATACAGAATTTTATAACGTGCTAGAAAGTTTGTGGTGAATTTTTCAGTGATGATGAATTTGGTTGGGAGGCGATGATATTTTCTTGTGCTATGAAGATCGTTTGATCTCTTTACAGTGTTCTTGTGCATGCCATATGTCAGTGCTCAAATAAATGTTATGATATATTTAGCTGAGTGAAATTACTTGGGAATATATCATACCTGTGAAGATTTCGTGATTTGTAAGGAGTTGGGAAATGCCAAGGGAGACTCGTTGATTAAGTACAAAAGGATCCTAAGGTGAGCATATCTTCAGATAAATAAGGTATACCGGATGTTTCGTATAATAATTAAGGATATGTAATTAACTCTGCATTGCATCAGGTTTTTGAAGGCATCGCTATTTATAATGAAACGAAACGCGTTAACTTCGCAATCGCCACATCGACGCAATATATGAATGTTATGATTTCGGGAAAGTGTAAAATTATAGTTTCAACATTCCTTTTACTTCTGCTTTGGAGAGGCCCGAGATAAAAAAATATATAGTTCCTTATACGAAACACAGCTTTTTGATTAAAAGCTAATTTCATATTACTTCATTGTCTGATGAGAAATCGAGGGATTTTTATCAGACAATAAAATTTCGCCATAATCCTTGAATAAGAACTGCTATAACAGCGTGAAAACGTCCTTCTGTTTCTTAGCTCTTTGAACTCAAGCAAGATGGGGTCAAAAATTGAGTACGTCGAGTCGTCCCACATGTATGCGACTAATTACATACGTAATTCAAAAGCTATTGGGGTCCTATGGGGAATTTTCACCATATGTTACGCCATAATCGGCGTAGTAGCCTTCGTGACTCCGGAATGGTTAGGAGATTTGGAGCATGAAAATCCTGGAAGGTTTGGACTTTGGACGCGATGCAGTTACGGTGGAAATGGTAAAGTATTAAAGCAGATTGATTAAAAAAAAAGATATTGTAAAGATATATTACGATATCTTTATTCATTAGGAATTATGCTTTTATCGAAACATATCTTTTCCAGGTGAACTCGGAGAGGAATGCATAGGTCGTCTAGACGATCTATCTACTATTGCCAGTATTCCTTTCAGAATAAGTACCATTCTAGTAGGTGTGGCAGTCATTATAGCTTTACTGGCCATTTGTGCGATGCTGTTATTCTTTTTCTGTCAGAGCACAACAGTATTTTACATATGCGGTTGGATGCATCTAATATCCGGTAAGAATTTAAATAATTTCCCATTTCACTATCTATCACTGTAATATCATTTTAAATCAAGAACAAAGAGACGGCTGGGTCTATAAATGTAGGAAAAACAAAGAAAGTGTATATAAATATTCACACAAGAACCCAAGATGCATTGGTGCACTCGTGCTGAGGTAAAGAGCGTAAAACATGGTTTTAGAAAGTATATCGTACCCGAGTAACGTCACAGTCCATTACAGTCCTGCAATTCCGTAACGCTTTATCGTCACAACATAATTGCAAATTGCGTTGATGTACAGGAAATGATGCAACCTTTCCATTTAGCATGCTCCCATTGTCGTTAATATCGTGTCAGTAAATCTGACAATGGCACAAATGACTCTCGTCTTTCATTAAGCGTTTTTTTTTCTTTCACTCAGCACCATCGCTTATCCAGTGACAAACATGAGGTCAGGTTTCTACAGCAGAAACTTTAGACTATTCTCTCTCCGTATTTCGTTAACACTTGTTAATTATAACCACGACGATCTTCAACGTAACAGCGGCCATTATTTTTCAAGAATCCCATGTCATACGCACTCACATTGTTTAGTCAACCGATACGCTTTTTCCACTAGACTCATTCCGCAACAATGAATCAAGTGAGACATAGACCATTACGAATCACGTACAGCCGTGGTTTTCAAGTCAAAGACCGAGACGATTATTTCTGAAGTATCATTTCATACACGGAACCGCATATAACAACTTTATGCACAGGGTGCACTGAATCGATTAATGCTATACTTGTTAAATAAATATAATTAGGATGCGTCGATCCTCGAACATTGTTACTTAAAATTACTCAATTCCAATTATAATTAAATGCCGCTAGTCTGAAACTTTTAAAAGTATAATTGAACTTTGCAAGACATATTAAGTCATTCAAATGATATTTCGTGAAACAACCTGTATACTTATCCTACTTGACCCACCAGGTTATTCGCGGACAGCCAATTCCTTAGCAATGACTCGGAAACGAGTTCGCAACTGGAAGATGAGTACTTACGGCTGTCGCGTCGTGTGTACCTACCTTTAAGATAGTATCGTTGGGTATTTACAGGATTCTATATACGCCGTAGGAACGATATGTGGAATAGACCGTTATAATGTATAATACCCTGCAAGGTACCGTTGGCCGACGCCTTTATTATTGACTCCGACAATCTTGAGATGCTTTATTTAAAAATATTATCCATCCTTTTGATTTCTGCTGAATAAATGATTGAAGCATCGGTATAGAATTTTCTAAGAATCTTTGTAATCTTGGTATTGGTTTTTTTCTTCTTAATACTTCCAGTATAACTGTATCTTGTACTCTATCACTATTAACTACCAAGATGTTTTTTATGTCTGTTAGATATTTTACCGTTTATTAATCAACTGTAGAAAATTACAAGAAAAATTTCTGTGGCACTGTACCTCTACGTACTAACTGTGTAGGGTACCGTTGACCGTGTTATGGCGCACTGTCGTGGATGGCTTGAGCCAAGACTAATTATTCTCTGTGTAACCCGAGTGCAAATTACATTGCAACTTTGCTTGAAAATTGGCGAACTTTCCACGGTTGTCACGTGACAGTGGCAACGACTGAACAAATATCGCACTTTTCTGCTCTTTTTTGATATGCCTTCGGTACGTTGCTCAAAAATAATGTAATTAAGATTCATATATAAAAATTTCATTTTCTATTGATAATATTTACCACCGGTCAGACCTTTATTTGTTTAATTTAGGTGTTTTGATTCGATCGGCAATCAAGGGAAAAGTATCGAATCGCCAATCTTCATGACTTTGCTGAATTCAGTCTAGCATGTCGTTTCTACGCAGACAGTGAAAGTTAGCGGTTGAATCGTGAAGATCGGAATCTAAGTCTCAATGCGAAGCTAAAACGTTTTGCTACAGGATGAGGCGTTACGCTTCATCCCCGATCGGAAGCAGTGAGGAGACTTCGATTTCAACCTTTCTCTCATCCAGACCATCTCTCTCGAATAGACCTCTGTCTTTTTGATCTTCGCGATCGTTGAATGAACTTACGTGATATTTAAATGCCGATTTAATCCTCGCTGCTAACGCTTTCTCAAAGAAGCCTTTACCTGTATTATGTCCCGGAAATATGAGAGTCGTCAGGTGATTATCAACCGTTGGCAACATTTCCGGAAATTTCGACATATTATATAGAAATCGTCCTCCGTTTTTATATATGCTTTATCTTAATGTCTACCTGCATGCTGGTGCTGTAAAAGACAGGCCACTCTTTGAGAAATAATATCCTGAGTTCCTTTCACTACCGACCTCGCCTTGCCTCCACAGGACAAACTGGTATCCCGCCTATCTAAATGCCTGCGAGTGTTATGCATTTTTACATGTTTCTTACTGCTGGGAGATATATCATAACTTTCTGAAATACCAAAAAAAACCGTGAGCTCTGGGATAGAAGGAATTTATTAAATTTAGGTTGAAAGTTTTATGAGATTTTTTTTAAGGATTTTACTGAGCTAGATAAAATATGTGAGAATAAGGAAGTGTGGAGATACTACAGATCTTGAGTCAGACTAGTAGATGCTTTGGTCAATTAGCGTTTTTTTTTAAACGGACCTTGATGGTACATTTTTATGGATGGTTAAGCAGTTTTTCCATTGCTGTATACCTATAGTTGCACTTAGTGTAAGAGAATAAGTAATCTTAGGAATTAGTCATGCATTTCTTATATTATAAATTTAATTTGTTAATTTTAATTGTCATTGTTGTTGTAGCTATATCTATGGCGGGTGGAGTCTGTATTTATCCACTTGGATGGGATTCGCCATTGATCCGTGGAGTCTGCGGCGCTTCGGCATCCAGGTAACGAAATTTTTCTTTGGCAGTTTCTTTAAAGAATTTTTTGGTTTTGTCTCTTCAATGGGAAAAGTGTTCGATATTGCTATTAAAAGTAGATATAGTTTCTCTATCGCCCTACTTATTTGTCCTTTGAACAGTGTTCGTAATAAATTTTTACATTTTCTTAACAACAGATACAATCCTGGTGCCTGTGCCGTAAGGTGGGCCATACCATTGGCTGCTATTGCTTCCCTGGATGCTGCGACCTTGGCAGTCCTTGCTTTCATCTTGGCCTCAAGACACGTGAGACTTCAAGCAGAGCCTTTCAACAATGGGTCCTTGTACAAAGGTAATGCTCTATTTAGGTTTATTTATATCACGGTATGATCCGATATCAACAGCCTGAATTTGGAGATAATATTGTTTAATGTTTTATGTGTTTATCTTTATTTTTTTTTTTCAGGCGAAGTAAATCCTGGTTATGTTAACGAAGCTCAGAGCGTTGCTGGATCAAGGAAATCTTTATCCTTGAGACCTGTTCTTTTGGTAGCACCACCGGAACAGGACCGCTACAGTGAACTCTCCAGAGCTAAGTCCCACTCTCACCATAGTCTTTATTCTCCAGCGCCGTCGCATCCGGTTCACACGATGTCGACAAACACTTTAAGTCATTCTCAGCATAATTTTCAACTTTGATTTTATTGACTGAAGCAGATTTAACAGTTTCGGCTCCGGTTAATAAGTCATCGGTGCCTTTATGCATTTTTATACGAGTTGTTGACTGACAATCGTTTCCGCTCGTTAAGTTGATCGATCGTTTACATGATCTGTTGGATTGATCTTTATTGTTTCACATTGGAGAGTTAGTAAACGAATTTGGTACAGTCGTATTTTGTGCCTTTACTCGAAATTCGTATATATCGTAATATATTATACGTATATATATATTATAGTCTTCTCATGAACAAATTTTCAAGGGGCCATCTTGCTATGACGTTCAGTGTAAAAGAATCCCCTGGACCTTAGATTTTACTCGTAGATTGACTAATACCAATAGCTACGTGTTATCCTATGTATGCTAATGAACATTACCAGTTAGTTTAATTGTGCGAATGACAGGTAATAATTTTTATAAACATTTAAACCGTATACTTAAAATTGCGTTTAGTTTTTAAATGCAAAAGTGGAGTATGCATAACGTGTTACGTATGCTATATAGTATATATATAATTTCTATACTTACTTAAATTTAAATAATATACTCGAGTATGTATCTAATGCTACTGGTCAGTTGTTAGTAACAATGACAGTTAAGACTCTTAATCTTTGTAACATGATTTTATATATCGAGCCATGAGAAATACAAATATCAAATGATTACGAAGTCAATGAATATTTATAACAAAGTTACACTACTCAATATTTAACAAAAATTATTCGTTTCGCTAGTGCTAAGACTCTGTGTAGACAGTCAACGATTTCCCTTAAAAAGAATGCAGCTAAAAAAGTGCATTGAACAAACACTAAGTTGAGTAACGAACCTTAACAACTTAAATATCTTAAATTTCTTTCACAGTATTCCTTAGATTTCTAAAGACACTACCTGTTTCATAAAATTACCTAAAATTCCAACCGCCTTTCTTCTAGATTCAAAGGCACAAAAACATGGTCATTTCTTTCCTGGAATCTCTTCTCTCCTCTCATACAGATAATGCGGTACTTACCTTTAACATTGTTAAAAAAATTCAACGATCACAAGAAAAGTTTCAATGAAGCCACAATGATTTGTAATTAAATAGAATTATTTTGCAGGAAGAATTACGTAGTAAAAAGAGAAATTCGTTTGGTACTAATTAATTGCTTTTCAAAAATATCATCATTCATTTTTGTGGTTGTAGAATTTACTGAAGGTGCGATATTGCAAAGTTGTATTGCTCTTTAATTAAGTGCTAATGAATCTTTACGTAGGTTGTGTAACTGTGGCTTCCTTGGTGTGCATTCAAAGTTTTCAAATGTAAATTCTGTAATGTTCAGACTTGCGTATTGTAAAATGTAAGGAACTTGGACTCTAATAATTGTGCAATTTTTGCGACGCATCGCACGTGTTAAAATAATAATCGCCGTGTGCAAACAGTACTGGGTGTCGACTCACCTTTGCATTGCGAAATTTTACTACGCACTGCATTATGAGAAATGTTTCAATGCAAGTACAATATTTGCATCCAATCAAGCCGCAAATTCTGTTTACCATGCAGGAAAATTGTGATTTAAATTTTTTTTTCATGTTGACATAACTGTCTACTACGCACATCCGAGAAACAATTGCATAATTACATAAGGCAATACATAGAAAAATACTAATATCGAATACTAGTTTTGAAATGAGCGCCATAGAAATGCAGCTAATTAGTTTTATGGAAATGTTGTACAGAAAAAGTTTTTTTTTTCTTACAGTTTCTTAGATTTCTGCAAAGAAAAATAGCTCAAATTGCAAATTTGCAACTTCAATATATCTCGGTACATGACTTTTTCATTAAAAGGATGGACGGTCAAAGAATTCGTACTCTAACGTGTAACAAATGCACACGTAACATTTTGACTAGTATATTTAATGATATGATACAGTACAATTTGATTATCAGTTATTTTATACTTATCTACTCGAATGGCTGTCAGCTAAGGTAAACGTAAGTCAAAAAAGTCATTGACACAAAGATACGCGCCAAATTCACCTATATGCACTCGCAAAAGCAACCGTATCGTATAATTAATTTAACATTTGGTGATAATCAGTGCCAATGACTTTAATGGCCCACGAAAACTTCACATTGTGACAATGCTTGTAGTACAGGACTATTCTATTGAAATTATTAGCATAAGTAACAAGTTCTGCGCTTTTGGCGATCAGCATCAAGAATACTCGAAGAATTGTACCATCGAAATTTTCCATTTATCAATTTTTCTCCAAGTTACTCAACATGGGAATCATCCGAATGACGTTATCGTCTTAAAATAGTCATGGAACTCGAGCCTGCCGTAAAGGAGTATACAATTTTCCATATGTTCCCAGCAATGTAAAGATAATTCCGCGCTTAGTGATAAATTCACACAAGGTTCCCGCAGCAGCCATAAATTTATAGCATGGTAACGTAAAGCCACAATTACCATTGGTAAAAGAACATTATTAGTGAGCAGTAAACGAATACTCAGCTTCTGCAGAATAAAAAATACGTAAGTCACCAAGTTCATTCGCCAAAGAAAACACAGAATTGTCACCTCCTGCACTTCATAGTGCTTAATCCTACAATAAATACCTTTCAACGTAGACGTCAAGCTACCAACTAGAACTGTCCATCTTGTATAACACATTTTACAACGAATCTAAGAAAGACCCGGAATACAAGATTTACGCCTGAGTAAAAGACACCGTTTCATTAAGTTTTCCACTGACTGTACATCTGCACGTTATTTCTCTAGAGTGCCGCCGCCTAGCGGCGAAATTCCGAACTGATACAGCCAGCAAAACTCGCGAAGGAGTAATAAAGATGCACTTAACCCATTTCTACAGCGGCATAGGAATCCGATAAGAAGATTGCTTCATTAGAGCTGGATGCCTCGCGGTCTCCAGCGAGCAGAATGGCTGCGTCGCGGTGCCGCAGCACGGAAGAACGAGAGGCCGGTAGAAGGGGGGAAAAAAAAAAAAAAAAAAAAAAAAAAAAAAAAAAGAAAAGCGAGTACCGAGGATAATGTAATTTCAGTGGCTAATGAATTCGACCTTCTATCTGTTTAATGAGTTCGTTTAGCTTACGGAAACGAGGACTTTTATCGGTATCTTTTATTCCATGCGTAACGTTCGTATTCCCGCGAAACCCCGGCATTTAAATAGGTACGACGAATATAGCCTGAGCTCAACCGGCGTCGCTATTAAATCGCGAGTGTTTATAGTGCATTAATTAGTTTGGGATGAGAAAAGGGATAAAAACGTTTACAACGTTGTAAATGCACGAGACTATCCCGTCAGCCGTCCGTACTTGGATTTGCCTTTGCGACAAGCGGCTAACTCGTCTTCCTTCATTCTCATTTTTCTCTCTCTCTTCCGTTTCACGTCATTACACGTACACGATGGCCCGCCTATGAAACTCTTCGGAAGCGTTTATGGCTTTATTACGTCGGCATTCCGTTTGCCAGTGCTTCTTCTTTACATCCGTCGCGAATTCTTCGACTTTTGCGCACAACGATTCTATCGTGCAGACTGTCGTAATTGAATCGCGAATTCCATCCACGCGATTTGGTTGATTGCTCATTCAAATTTCTCTTTTCCACTTGTTGCACCGTCCGTTGCACTTTGCAAGAGAATATTATGACAATAGCGTGGACTGAATGGCTCTGAGTATCTTTCACGCGGATATTGATTTTTAAAATAATTTAATTAGCTAAAAGTTAAATTATCGTTATCCTAAAGACAATTTACAACGCTATCGACGATCGCAACTCTGAGCGACAATACGATCAATCGTAACACACAGATTTCTTAGGTCTCTTTGTTCAGAATAATGCCGCAGGGTTGTACCACGCCAGTGTTCGCCAATCTTGGCCTCTTTGCGGCCCGTTTATTTTCGTCCTTTTTAAGGAGCTCCTCTATGGAGTAAGGATTTCTTTTCCTCTGAGGCTGTGCCTGCCCATTATCTTGTCCTGGCTCGTTCGTCAAGTTCCGATCGCTTCCAGCTTCAAGAATTCTCTGTGATACAGAATTCTGACTCGCAGTACCCTCCACGCTCGATGGGCTCTGCCGTGAATTTTCAAAATTCCCTGCGCAGTTCGGCGTCCCATGCCTGACGAAAGCGCTCCGATCGCTACCGATTTTCTGCCCCAATTCCAGGATAATCGGTGAGTTTTGAAAAGACTTATAATTTCCTTGGGATTCGGTGTTCTCGTCCAGATCGCTCTTATCCAGTGAATCGTCACTTCCGGCCATTGAACTGGAACTTGACTTGAGGTCGACTTGATTTTGACTCCCTTGTTGCGCGGAAAGACGTTCGGCATCCAAAGATCTGAAAGGAATAATTTTTTAATTTATTAATTTAATAACCAGCCAAGGACTTATCTCCCGACGTAAACACTTCATCGCGATAAAACTTTTCCTCGTCCTTGATCCTGACGTGTTAATACGATAATTAGTAGACAATTAGCTCTGCTCCCTCGATAGAATGTCGATTATGCACTTACGTGAATGACTGCATTCCGTGATGCAAGTGCAAAGTCGTCGCTTGATACAAAGATGAGTAAAAACTCGGATTCCAAGTTGGCGCACTCGTGCCACCGGAAGTTGTCGAAATATGCAAGGGTCCCAAAGCTCCTGGATAGAATAATTGATAATCCGTTCTCATCAAGGCATCTGTACGGGAAAACAAAAAAGAAAGCAGAAGCATAATGTAAAATCAACCTGAGCGAAGCATAGATCTTACAAAACGATATTAAAAGTCAGTCAAACGTCCGACAATAAACGCTACATGCAAATTAGACGTGATCCGGCAACGAGAAGCACTTTCGTTCAGCAGAATTATTGCTCAGTCAAATTGGGTGGATCACGCCAAGCTTCGAGAAATCATTTACATTTTTTTCGATTCGACCGCTTCGCGTGCCGCGTTCAGCGATCGCTGACGAGTCAATCTTGAGCCGGGATACGCTAACTTTTTTGATAGATAATAAAAATACTAAAAATAGATTTTATTGGGGACAGGTGTATAAAAAATTATTTGATCAACCACAATTATACCTATACGTATAAGAAGGAAGACTGAAGTGATTTTTTTTTTGTAAAAATATTTTTCCAATTTACCTCTGGTTCCCACGTTGGTAGGTATCTGCCCCTGATAACTGCTCGAAGTACTACCCTCGATAGCAGGGTGCTCCGTATGTAATCCACCCCCCCTAAGAATCCTGTTGACCGACGATACCGACGGCAAACTCTGCGGATCGCAAGCTCCCTGCCGTGCAAGCTGCTCCCGTATTTCCCAAGCGAACATGGTGGGCTGCTCCTGCTTCATACGTAGAATCTTCTTAACGACCGTCGGCGTAGCTACTTGCTGCAACAGCAAAGCTCGCGGGTTATTCTAAAACGTAAAATCAAAATATCCACCGATGAGAAATTACGTTAATGAAAATTTGGATCTAACGATGCCATTATCCGTACGAACAGTTGTCTTCGCGATATTTCAAATATTGACAGCCAAGGGTACGATCTTAACCTACGATAACGTCGCTCTAGTCCAATTCCATATTCAATGACCATTGATCATCGTATTATCTAGAGTGTACTGCACGTCCGCAGGACTTACTAACGGCACGTCACTTCCGTTGAAAAAAAAATGAACACACGAATCTAGCAATTACGGTACACCGCGTGCAAGGGAAATGCTCGGTGAACTCGAGAATCCGTCGCGTTCAACGGATCCTTGATATCGTTGATCGAAGCCAAACCCTTTGTGTTCGCAAAGATACAAAAGTTAGCGCGATGCTCTGTCGGTCGGTGGGTCGCACGACAAAATACACATGCCGTCCACAGGTGAAGTGGTGAACAATCAGATAGCAAAGGTTCAGTACTTTATTTCAGTTTAGCCAGGGCTTAGGAGCGTCATCTGCTTGCCCGGCAAGCAGAGGCTCTCAATTCCTCAAATTTGAATTGCTAATTAATGTTAATGCACCGAATAATTTTATGTTAAGTCAATGGAAATGTTATTCCTTCGGACAGATTTAAAGATCGGAGATCTCCACGAGTAGCACCGATTGCCACCAGGGGATCCTGAGATTTCTACGGGGATGTCAACCGGAAGAATATTTCGACCCATTATTACGTTACATATGAATAATCATATATAACATAGGCTATTGACAATAGCAATTATATATTTATTTACAATCTTATAGCGATTATAAGAGAGAGGTATGAGTAAGGGTCATAGACGACAAGCTATATATATATATATATACTATATGAATAAATATTAGCCAAGGATTAGCTACCGATTTTCATCTCCTCAGTGCCTATTAAAAAAAATTTCTAACTATAACTATAGATATTTTTTGAAATATCGAAATAGGCGTTTTTCCGTAAAAAAATATAATATAATATTAAAAAGACAAAAATCGGTATGATCATCCGGTATACCAATTTTTTGTAACAAAGATCGCGGGATCTATCCGAAGTACCGTTCGAGTACCACTGACAACCCTACGCTTAGTATTTCGCCCAAGGGTCGCGAGGTACCTAATAGTTGTAGAGGGTTAGACATTGCGTGCACTTGGGAGCATCTCAGATTCTAATCTGACACTTCCGTCGTGGCGACAATTACGCGCAGCCTTGTCTGTCCTAATACTGGTCCCTCTCGTGTCCCGTACACACGTGTGGAGTTACGTTAAAAAAAATAAAACAAGGGCCAGTGTGTCAGCGTGGCAGTACGCGAGCGTGTGTAGCCATGGGTCAGGAAATTGGCCGGTGGGACAAACGGACATCTGGCGCTAAACGTTAGATAACCCGAACTGCCGAACAGGTTGACCAACTCCGTAATTATCTTTTGAGTGTCATCGGTAGCGTGGTAACTGACGATAGGGAACTAGATACGAGTGGCACCTTTTTTTTTTTAACTACTAACTCAAATTCGCTTTACTTGCCCGAAACACGAGGCACTCATCCACATATGGATGAATTATACGTATACATATTCATATATATTATATATCGTATATGTTTGTCTTCGAAGAATAATCGATATTCGATAAATATAATTTAGCATTAGTATACACAGTCAGTTTCGATTGGAATATATATATATATATACTAATCGATATCTACTATCGAACGGACTACAATAATGCAAACTTTTACTGTTTACCAGAACTTGTTTGCATTTTCTAGCGCGAACGAACGACGTGACGCTAAATCATGCATTGAAAAAGTAAATACACCGACTACCAGCGACCGTTTAAACACTCCGCCGCCAAGGGACGTAGATCCTAATTGCCAGATAACCAGGAAATATGCGACGGGTGACTTTGAAACGTGGGAAAAGCGAATAGTCTCCGTGCCGTGATAATCAATAGTCTTTAAAAGTATTGTACCAAAGTGGAGCAAATAGGACGTAGAAGTAAATTTTTACTTAAGATTTCATAAACCGTACTTACAGGACGTCCTATTGGGAAGCTCGTAGGGAGAGATTGCTTGAAAACGCAGCGACGCTTTATTACAGTGGCGTCGAGACGTGCATTTTTCATGAGATAATTTTCAGTGTCGTGCCGCTATCTCATTATAGGCTGCATGTCGCGGAATGCACGCGCGGAGATAATGATGAAACTGCGGGACGTTGTTTTGACAATTCTCAGTCGGATACAGTAGGAAACACGTGTAGATCATTGATAAATCCGCTACTAATGTGCGAATCAATTGTGAAATTGTTGTACGCTCAATTTTACTCAGTTGAACTTATATATATATATATCTGTATGTAAATGCCACACGTGGCGAAACTTCCTAATCACAATTACGCGAACCACTTCGATTACGATTGGCCGCGTGATATAATTAATGGTTACTTTTATACGGGCTATCGGGAAGTCACTTTAACGAGGTGCTCACAGTCAGCCAGTCGACGTCACTTTTGATCGTATTTTTTGACACGCGTACCAACCTACGTCCCTAAGAGTATATCCTATACGTTCGCTTGGTACTGCAGTAAAATAAAGACTTTCAGCCACCCGTAGAAACGAATTCTACAGGCTTGCGGGAGGTAAGCGAGTGTTGGAACGAAGAGAATCCATTTATGGTGTCGGAAGATGAAATAACGCTGGTAAGAATGATCGGGTCAGTTTTCGAACGGAAAATTAGAGCGACGAAAGCACGACGATTTTGAATGCTCCGTATCCTTGGGCGAAGAGGTCTGAAATGTGTGCCTTTGAGAACACACGCCCTATGACTTGACGAGTTTCGAAGAACGAGGAGATGGCATCCTCTAGATTTCTAGAAGAACTTTCTTTAATGACAGGCTGACCTCGAGAGTGGCGATTTACTGTTTTGACAGGTCACACTCACCTTTGATGACTCGGCAGGAAAAGTCGGTGTTTTATAATGGAAAAATGTGGAAAAAGAAAAGAAATTTTTTTTTTTTTTTAATACGACGCCCGCTTCGAGAACGATCAGCGAGTTAATCCTGCCAGGCAATTAAAGGGTTGGTCTTCTCGCTATTACCTAATTATCGGTGTAACTTTTAATTTCGAAAGCAGCCAGTAAAGTCGCTGCGAGCGCCAAGTCCTAATCTAATCTTAGATCTTTTTAAAACCTTTTTAATTAGTTGATCCCAAGGCAGACACGTACCGCGGGCATGTTAGATCATTGAAAAATAAATAATCGAGGGGCGGAAAAGTTCGAAGTGTATATACGCAGGAGAAGATTTTCTTATCACGAATGCTCAGGGAGTCCAATGAGATTGCGTTAACGTCTCGTTGTGTGCATATCCCGTATGCAGAGTCAAGCGAGTTTCCTCATTCTCAAACGCACGGGATCCGCCATTTTGATGGGAACGCGTTATTAAAATAAATTCATTAAGTTCGAACGCAAGAAAGGCGACGTATACGAGCCGCGGTAAGAAACTCTCGGACGTACCGTATAATTATATTGTCATTAGTAGCATCATACGTAACATTGCACGCGTGTGGTATAGTACAGTCAATACCTTTAAGTCCTGACTCCAGCAACGAGGCTGGCATTACTCGCGCGAGTTTGCCGTCCCGAGTGATTAAAAATTATCCCGTAAAAGGAGAACGCCCCGCGCACGTATCTGCTGTATATAAGATTCGCCACGGTAAACTAACGACAGAGGTAGTACCTCTAATTCACGTAGAATCGAATTTTAATGGCAGCACCGTACGCATACGGACAGTAACGTTTCTCCGATACGATGCAAAAGCAAAAGAAGGAAACGTGATACAGGGAACAAAAAATCACCTACGCATATACGTATCGTCACTGGCTGCATGAGCGACTCTTGTAATGGACCCTAGTAAACAAACCGGAATAGACAGGTAGTCTCGTATAGTACAGACCAAGTCGATTACCCAAAGTAGCGTAACGTTTATTAATTTAATACCCAGGATTCCCGAGGGGCGGCGACGCTAACCAACCAGCAAGAAACCGTGCAGAGCCACGAAGTTATGCAAATGTCCGCTGCAAGGCGTTTGGGTAATTGCTAAAGTAGCCAACGTGCGAGCCTTACTTAAAATCACATCAGCAATGAAGATATACGCATTCAAAGTTGCAGATTCCTTGGGCTTCTTCAAACTATCGAAACTTTGTATTATTAACGTAATGAAGAAGCATAAAGGATTTAAGCCCGTGGGGCATCGAACTTGCCGTCCAGGAGTAAGATTTGCCCTCGTGAGTGTAATTGGCTATGTAATAAGGACACGATTCCTGGGGTTGGCGTAAAAAGAGCCGTGCGTTCCATTCGAACGGATTCCCTCATTACGGTATCTACAGGGAAGAGTTCGTTAACGCCGCTTGAAAATCTCTAAAGGATAAAAACAAAACTCGTCGATCCAGCTTCGTTATGGTGCGGAGGAACCCTGGTCCGAGTGTCAGCCGTTCGAGGACGGGACGAAGATAGTCACTGACTAAATATGTAGATTATATCGGTACTATAAATTATTAGCATGCGTATAGGCTAATCGCATCGCCACCTTCGTTTATTCTCTCGACTTTTATCTCTGTATGTATTACGTCTGTATTATATTACGTAATTCAAACTGACAAAACCGTATCTTCCTTTACACGCATATATATCCTATACTAAGTAAAGTACCTCTTTACCTTAGTCTTGCTGCCACCGATGCTACCAGGCCTGATACTTCCGGTCTCATAAAATCGTGTCAGTATCTTCGAGACGCAGCCGTGCGAGACGAGGAGCTGTCGAGAAATGTCACAGGGTCTCACACCGACCAGAGCCAGTTGTACGATTCTCTGTCTGACGCAATCAGGCAGAGGTCGGCCATTAACGAATACACCACCCAGTTGATTAACGCCGGCTTGACCTGTAACAATTGTCATATATGCTCGTTACATGATTTTTCACGTGGACGTGTAGCGTCCGATGGTAGCTAGTTTAATGTGATATTACGTATATAGATATAGTAGTGAAAATACTAGAAGCCACGAGTTATCCTCTCGAAAGAAATGAGCAAGCTTGATTTTATCAGCCGATCAGCTCGCTAATACGATTGGCTTCTTTCTACGTCCTGGTACTTGTATACCGGGATATAAAAGTAGCGCGGTCCCATGATTCTCAGTGCCCTGAGAACCGTCTGTATAAATGCGTGTAAAGACTGCACGATGAAGCGGGAGCGGCACGATGCGTGCCAGGGATACAAAGTTGCCCTGCGGAAAGCTTCCCGAAGGAAGAAATCCGCTAATAGCCCAGGGATGACGTTAGGGGTGGGCAGGTGTTTTCACAGGCGGTTTCGACTCTAATGACATCGCTCGGTAGGAACCCCGAAAAGATCTTGGGCTCGCGTGTCTCCCCACTTCGAAGATCTGTAATTATTTTAGAAGCCAGAGAGGAGCTCACGTACGAATCCCTAGACCAAAATTGCTTCCTGCGAAATGCACCGCCGTTCAATTTTTACGAGCCAAACTTTTCTGTGCACGTGTATGGCTCCGACGGTGTAGGTACCGGGCTTAAGTTTTCACCTGCTTGAATCTATTAGACGCTAATGTCAAAGGTACCGGACTAGGGACAAGGCTTAATTGGTACATACTGGGTTACTGGTTAAAACTGTATTACAAGACTGGGCAATATTTATCCATGGATATTAATTTTTTTTTTATGTCTCTCAGGTAGAGTTATAATTTTATAGAGACCACATGGATAATTGTAATTATACGTATAATTATAGTAAGCATGAATAACTGTTATATAAAGAAATTGGAAATTGGCAAAACAAGCTGGTATTGACTGTCTGTGGAATTTTGAGTGTCGTAGTAGGTATTAACTTTGTGTACGTGTAATTGCCTAATTAACGACACGGGCTATCAAGCACGGCACAGTGGCAGTCGATTACAATTAAGATATAATCTCGAGCGAAGATTAATGCGCGATACTTAAATCTGGTCAAATCGGTAACGATTTAGCGGGATGGGTATAACGCTCTTTGAGAATTTGATTTTTAAACGAGATTGTAATACGGAGATACTTTTTCACGCTACTTTTTCTCTAGGAAGAAATATTCCCTGGGACGGTTTCTAGGGTTATTAATGCCAATGGGGTCTGTATAAATTGTTACCAGATTCGATTGTCCTATCGATACTCCTTTGAATATCTCATCGTCAATCTCTCACGTTGTTCGAAACTCGTAAAGTAATGAGCCTTAATGCTCTCAATCGTTATCCCTCACACGAATTCTCGTTATCGTAACTTTTCAAGACTTTTATTTTTCTTTTCGACTACCCACTCGTATTATATTAATGACTGCCCTATCCCTTACCGTGTTCCTAGGTGTTTGCTAAGAGATTCCAATGATGATACGTAATTAAGATATAAATTCAGATACAGCCTGACCCGATTTTCAGCAATGCACGAACCCAGAGATTTCCGGTTCATTTACGTGTCTAATTCCATCGGTATCACCTGCACCGTCGGAACGAGGTAACGTCAAGCACACTAGTCAGTCCACGTGTAGAAATCGATTTAGGAATAATTATTCAACATGTAAAGTATGCCAATTGCGTAACGAAATTCAAAAAAACTATTCAAAAAATCTTCCACATGCCGTATCGTGATACCAAAAAAAAAAAAAAAACAAAATCGAAATATCAAATAATTGTATAAAAAATATTTTTTTAGTAACGTTAGCGTCATTCATCTTTTTTTCACCTTTCCTGTTACTTGGGCAAATTTTTCAATATTATATAAAATTAAAATTTCCAGTTAATTAATCGACCACCGACCGTATATTAAACCAATTACGTAATCGTCTATTATCACGGGCCTTTTACGTGCTACCGGTTACATTATCTCAAGTCAAATTTTCGAAGGACGTTTTTGATGCTTCTTATACGGTTATCGCTCGTTTCTCCTTTCACGAACCATTGCCAGTGATTAATGTTCCATTACTTGGAAGCAGATGTTTCACTCGTAATGGTAAATAGCCACACAGCATTTGGTTACGACCTAAATATTCTCTTCCTATTTGCACCTTTCGACGATCCGTCTATCCGTAGCCATAAGTCATCAGCCGCAACTGTAGACAGTTATATATATATACATCTTCCTTCAGGAGTATATTGAATGATGACTATATTAAATCAAATAATCACATAGTCGAGTATCCTCTGCTATAATTTCAACGCGGTTCATCCAGTAGCATGAGGAATGAAAAAAAAGAAATTAGTAAAAAAAATGGCCTATTCGTTTTCTTTATGTACCCGAGTGCAGTAATTCTCCTATATAATAAATTCTGTTGGAAATGAATGCAGGTATTATTTATCGTATATTTGTATATAGATATATAAATCTGAATTCTCTGCCACAGAAAGCACGTCACTTACGTTTCGACAAGGTCTCAATAAATAACCCCGTGAAACGAGAGCAATCAAAGAGAAAAGTGCTGCCCGTAATGAGCAACACGACTCAATCCAGTCAGGATTGGCAAGCCGAGTCGCAGGAACTCCGCAGCGTTTAAAAACATAAAAGCGCGCAGCTCCTATATAAATTGAAACCACGCGCCTTCACGTAGTAACTGAGATGGTCGGATCGACGGACGATTCCTAATTATTATCCGCGTCTAATTATGTCATTAACTCAATTACACGAATTGGCGAATCCAGCCGAAATAATGGCCGGGGTTAAACGCTGAGAATTCTTTTGAGTATTTGACATTGGAATTGAGACGGGTTACGGGGACGGTTGTCACTGGGAGGGACGCGTAAGAATTTAAAAAAAAAAAGACTACGGACTAAATATTTTCGGGCAGATTATTTCCCTTTTTCTTTTTTCTTCCTAGAATCCTACTAATTCTCAGCTTGTTACGTTACCGTGGAATTTAAGATTGGCTATCATTCGACACACTAGGCTCCTTACCTGCCAAATGAAAATCAGCCTTAAGGCGTCTTTACTCAGGCGATTTATTTCTTACAAACTCCCAGCGAGTTCACAATTTCGGCGTTATTACGATAAAAAGGGGTTGACTCCCTGTTGCCCCGAGGGATACTCGCCGCGCGAAATTACGTAGCTACGCGTAAACCAACCACGCCGGAGAACGACGGATGGACCCCGACAGGGGTAAATTATTATTACGGCAAAAACGAAGCAGGAGGCGGCTCCTATCTACATACGAATCTGCGGTGGATCTTGAAATAATGAGAAACGCGTTACCGGAGTCATAATCGCGATAGTAACATAGGTAGATACCAGCTCGTTTGCAATGCTCGTGATGTCGTGGTCGTTTGGAGAAATTAAAAAAAAAAAAAAAAAAAAAAAAAAAAAAAAAAAAAAAAAAAAAAAAAAAAAAAAAAAAAAAAATCCCAGCAAGATTACGTCAAGAGCAACGATCTCGTGACGTGTACGAAAAATTAATTTTCTTCCGAAATTTCATCACCCCCTTTCTCTTCCTCTCGGATGACTGACGACTGTGACGTCACCCGTCAACATCCACAAGGAACTTTTGGATGCCATCGCACGGCGTTCCGTTAACGCTACGCTAACGTGGCTCGTAACCGATTAGAAGGGTGGCTGTTGGCTCATTAAATTCTCTAATGGCTAAAGGGTTATTGCGTTTAGTATCGTACACCCGGTATTGGTATCTACACGCATAACACCATAACGCCATCAAACTATAAACTATAAACAGGCCTGTATAGGATGCTGTGGATAATAATGGTTAGCTTAGAATTAGCGAACTGATACGAGGGGCCGTGATTGCTATCGCGTTTGCCATTTATGTTCAAAGCACAGCACACACCTGCCTGCCTCCATAACGATCCATCTAGGGTTAACAGATTTTTTTGAGTGTATAGATACACACGTCGAAGGACTGACATCACGCAATGTTATATGGGCGAGATTTTGCCTGGATAAATTCAAAGCAAGAAGAAAACGGAGTCTGCACCTTTCAGCGTAACACTCGGCCGTAGCAGTAGACATTTTGATGTAGTAATCAGGCACGAACGTACGGGCTATATCGTAGCTACGTACTAAGTGTTTTAAATTGACAGCTACTCGACGACATTTATTTTCTATTTTAGATTCTTCCTGCCATCGGCTTATCAAAATGTTTTTAGGTAATTAGCAGCTAATGGTAATTACCATTGAGATACGTATAACATAAAATTCGAAGTGTCAACTATTTACTACATGGCTCTTACGTAGAAACGGGATATCGGATTTGAGAAAGTGTAGGCAGGATTTTAAAATTTATTTCAGGACGTTACATGCGAATCGTCAAGGTTGCGTCATTTCGTATATCCGTGGATGACATACGGGTAAAAAATGATCCCTCGTTAAATTCTACGTCTTCTGTTCTTCGTTAAAAGTAAATGAACGAAAAAAAAAGAAATTGTTAACGTCCCTCATTGATGTAGCTTAATACGGCTATAACACGTTATACGACTACCTACCGTTTACCAAGTCCCTTCATTTTTGAATCGCGGTCAATCGTACGCGCGTCGCTATCGACCATTTATGTTTCCCTGGCGTGTAATTATTCTCGTGAGCCTCGACGACCCCTTACCTCCCGTGTAATTCAATGAATCACGAAACAGCCTGTGTGGTCCATCGGCGAGGAAGCGGATAACAGTCTGACACGAATTACGAAATTTGGAAATAGCGATAACACGATAACGAAATCAGTAGCCCGTAACGATCCTCGAGCAACCGATGTCTTACACGGACAATGAACGAGTCGGATATAATTAAAAGCATTTAATTACACGTTCATAGATCTTAACCCGATCCGCCGTATAAAATTCTTCGTTAATTACTGTCAAAATGCCTTCTGAATTGTAATTTAGTCGAAACTTAAAACTACGGGACTGCAGAGGGAGTAGCGAGCGGAGGACAGATTTAATTTTTACTACCGGTTGTACCTCTCTGATCTTGCCGACGGTAGCTGACCTCACACCGAGATCGAATCTATGATAGGACTACGTTATTTATTTAATTTCCTTGACAAATCCACCGAGTCAAAAATTAAGGAGACTTTCATAATGGTTAACGCGTGGGTAAGAAATATTTCTTGATAAAAAAAAAAAGTATCAAAACGCGTGAAAATACAACGGCACGAACCGGTTCGCCGTTGAACACCGAAAACGCCCTTCTTCCCATTTATTTTCACCTACTCGCGCTCTGTCCCGCAAGCCTAACAGCAAGTGCCCAGAGATTGTACAGTGTGGGGTATACAAGACCCCATAAAAATAAAAGACGATTGGCGTTGTCTATAAATAAAAATTTGTGGAAAATTGACAATAAAAAATGTACACGTTAAATAAGTATATCTCATGAAAGATATAAGAATTAGGAGAAAATTTTTTGAATTTTGTAATTTTATTTAAAACAGCGAACCACCCCAGTCTAGGACTCACCTGTGTGCGGCATCTTGATGCGTGATTGGCGAGGCCTTCTGAAACAAGAAAAATGACACAGGATATATAATTCGTTGCGTCGGTTTATTTCGACAGTGGATAGGCGCGAGAGGGGTCAAAGGGGGTGGTACTTAATGCGTAATTTTTTTTCGAGGTCAACCAAGCCGGATAGCCAGGGGTATACTACAACGCAGTGACCATAACGTAATGAATTTAAATGTATTCAAAGGGAGCGCTTGACGCTTGACATGGCAACCCTTAAATATGCAACTAAACCGATAAGCAAAAGCGCGGCTAAATATTACGATACCGGACCGTGATTCTCATTTTGACGAATCCGGCAAAAGCATTGGCACGATCCTGTGCGTTCAGTGGATAAAGGTTATTTTCGAAAAATCGATGGAGCCTTGGACAAGTACAAGCACAGGTGATATTTCGCGACAGCGCGAAACACGTTGACCGACAGGTTTCGCATTAAAAACTGATTACCAATCAAGTGGATCTAGTAGAACAGGTAAAATTAATGAGCGATCGGGAGAGTCCCGCTTCAAAATTAAAAGCATATTAATATAGCCGCCTTCGTTAATAAGTACCGATCATGAAACGGAAGAAGCCGTAGAGAGAAGTAAGGAGGCAAGAGAAGAAAGAAAAAAAAAAAAAAAAAAAAAAAAAAAAAAAAAAAAAAAAAAAAAAAAAAAAAAAAAAAAAAAAGAAGCATAAGTATTCAAGAGATTGCTATTTATCGCGCTAATTACCATTCCTCTAGGAAATATATCCAATGCCGAATGCCGATGGTAATCTGGTAAAATTTACAGACGCCATTACGCATTATGACCGTTTGCGCGGATCGTATAAGGATCTGCCTTGTGGCGAATGTGGCGAACTCGACGTTAACCGGGGAGCTCGACGAAAACAAGGGAGAAGGCCGCGGTTTGAGAACTCGGCAGAAAACTAGTAGGAATGCGTGCGTAGAGAGGCGGGTGGCGTGTACTTTGTGATGCAAATTAATGCACGATTACCAAAGCACCCCGAGCCTCGACTCGCCATCCCCAACCGAGTAATACCAACTACACCCTTACCAACGTCTACCCGTGCTTACTTCATGCGGAGTTAGCGAACACGTTCGCCACCGTCGTATACCGTACCTGCACAAGGTTGGATAGCTGTGTATTAACATAGACTCGGATCAACCCTAACTCCAATGCCTGCCCCTGCATTAGGGTGGTTACACGCTCGCGAGCGCCTAATCTGATTTAATTATTACACATTATGCGGTTTCCAGTCAAAATATTATTCCCCGATCGAACGACTCGCCCTTTTATAAGGAGCGACGACGGCGACGAAATGTCTTCGATAAAGCCATTAAAATTTATATTGCCGGATCCCATCAGTTCGAGTGGCCATTGAGGGTGATAATGGCACGATCGTTATACCGTAAATTTTATCTGAATATATTGACTTCCCACTGATCCTTAAACCCGGCCTCTCTCAATACGAACGGTACCGAGAACGAGTCTTCTTCTTCGGGCACCAAAGAGCTCGTACGCTCTGAAGTTGCCCAAGGGTAGATCCTGTGCCTGACGGTATTAAATAACGTGAAACTTGCCGAAGGTGCGAGTCCGAAGTACTTTCGCTAAAAAGCACTCCGCCACCTCGATACCTATATAACCACCATAGGTACCCGTTAGTTACACGGCCACGTTTATACTTTTTATCCCCCGGGCTTTCTTGTACTTTTAACTGGAGGATGGTACGATCGCGATGGCCTCGCCGCTCGCACAATGAAATATTCCCGTAATGAGGATTGAGCGATTATTATAAATCAAACAGCAGCTACGGGGAGCGCGCGGTGCATTTCTCGCGTTCCTCGTGTTTTGCTGGTGTTACTCTTGCGAACACGTGTTCCCCTATGGTGTCGCGACGGTCGTATGTCGCGCCGATATACGGCACAGTGAATTCTTTCTCGATGGAGATAAATTAAAAGCTATCGACATCGCCTTAAGAAATTCCCACGAAATTGATACTGCCCTCTATGGCAGATTTGATTGTTCGCTTTCCAGGCACATAGTCCGTCACGTACGCGCTTCCTGCATCGGTCGGGTAGAATTGGCATGCAGCGTCGCGACGCATAGGTACTGGACGCCGATCATTTTCGAGGAAACGAGTGAGTTCAACGTCGAACGGTTAACCACCCTGAATCAGGTATCACTAGACACCGCTATGGGTTTCTTGGAAGCTGCGACTACTGTATATCTGCATGAGATGATCAGTGATGGTCTAAATTAGTTCACTCTGAAACCAGCCACTGATTAGACCACGCTAAGGTCACGCTTTCACGTGTAGGCCTCGGAAGCGAAATCTAGTTTTTGTTTATTCATTAGGCTACCGCGCTTTAAGTGGTACGTAAGACCCCACCAAGGGTTGGCCGTATCTCCGATACGCCACCAGCCATAAAAATCTGAATATATTAGACCTACATGTGCACGACATCTTGCGCGGATCGTGAACACATTACACTGATAATCTACACCCGCTTCGGACCACTTTACCCGTTCACGCATACCGCGGAAACCATGCTTCTCGCTAATTTTACTCTCCACGATGCCTACCTGAAATCCTTGCCTGCCTGATTGCCCGCCTGACTGCCTGCCAACCTTGTCTCTCTCTACCTACCTGCCCTACCTACCTACCTGGCTGCCTGCCTCATTACTTTCTCCCTTACCCTTGCCATCTTTTTAGCTTCTTTTCTTTTTTACTTCTTCATCTTACTTTGGACATTTCTTTGCCAGTGATGCTCAGCGAATCGGGAGGAACAAGGATGAAAGGGAAATAGCGACTGAAACCTGGTACACCCTGTTTCGTTACGGATAAATAAATCTTGAGACACGCTATACCGATGATGGAGCCTAAATATGGTCCATGATCAGATTCTACGTGTGACACAATGTACCCAGAGTCACATAAGCCTGGGTAGTCTATTCGAATCCATATCAATTGCGTAGAGTGGTGTTTCAGCGATTTTTCTTAATACATATTTTCGTTATACATTGATCGAGTGGGGGAATGATTAATCAAATTTATAAAATTTGGATCAATGGACGTTTTCACTTACGGGAGCTGAATTCCAAGCGTAGCTCTCGTTGATACGGAGAAGCATCAAGAAATGATGCGAATAGTTTATTAACGGAGTTGCGGTTTTTGCCTGAGCGTCAAATGAGCAGCTAAGCTTCCATGGGGTAATTAGAATAATTCGGGCCGCCGCGGTTCACGCCACCCAAGTGAATTTGCATTTTAAATGAACCGATGGCGTGCCTGGCTTCGCGGTAGAACTTTGTGTTTTATAAGAACTTTAATATTTATCGCGTATCCCTCTAAAAGTATCCACGCCTCGAACAGTCACGGGACCCGACTTTGCACTGTTCGCCATATTATTTTCGTGCTACATCCATTATCACGTCATTAAAAACAAAGATTCGCCGTCGTGGCATGTGCGCAAGATTATTTCATCGTGTTAGCCGGAGAAAAATATTCGAAAAGCGCAACGCCCAGTTTCGCCGCGAAAGGTCATGAGGATTCGACTTCGCTTACGGCGGCGGGATTCGTTAAAGCGAAAAACGATCAATCGGCACGGGAAGTGACATCGGTTGTCGTGGTTATTATTTAAAACAAGTAAAGTGGGTTATTTCATGATTTCACCTGGACTGCCATGTATAGGTACGTGGACGTGAAAAAAATAATCTTCATTAAACAGGAAGCATACGGGTAATTAATTGATACAGCTGCTATAAGTATAACCATAGAGGCAATCATGTTTTTCAAGTAACTTTTAAAGAAGATAAATACCTGTCGATGTCGCGTGGCTCTCGTTAGATTTCTAATTGGGAAACGTCATTCGGATGACACAGGGGTATTCTTCGGAAGTGGCTTCCAGCAGTCTGGTAACGGAGTCTATGACGCTTAAGCTTCGGATTCTTGAATAGCGAAGATAGGTGCCGATTGGATAATTTAGTAAAATTTATTTAATTTTCATCTTTTACGTATTGATATATTTGATTATTAATTATTTTTTTGCCTCGTTAAAAATTAGCAATGATTTATTAAAATCTTCATGAAAATTATTAGTCACGACTTGTATTAAACTGTATATTGAATCGGATGCTGTAATAATTTAAAATACTATCCGGCGGCTTCCTCTTCGTAAATCTTCAGTTCGTAATGCACGCACGAGTTACTCTGAGCATCCGAAGTGATTACCTCCGCGGTAATGTTTAATGGCACTTTTGAGTTGTCAGACTGAGACAAGCGGGTTTCTCTTAATAACACGGTTTGTAAGTTACGCGTCGAAATTGAAGACCGGTTCTTCATAAAATGTAAATTGTCCCGGGGGTTCTTTACAGTTCATATAGGACTGTCAAAGTACTCATTTCTCGAGGATCATGCCACTCGAAACTGTCATTCCAATAGGTCGATGCGTGGATCAAATTAAAGCGTAATAACGACACTGTGATATCTCTCAGAAAGTACGAGCACGTACGTATGACACGCGAACAATCTTTACACTCAATCAAAGAACCATTCTCCACCCAACGAGGACAAGTCACCATCCCCAAGTGTCAAAAGTCCTTCTTCTGTCTTATTCTCAAAAATTAACGACTACTAGCCCGGAAGATAAACTATCTTCTCACCGGCTCACAATGATCTCGCGCCACAAACGTAATTGGACAAAAATCCCTCCCTTGACACAAAACACTTCAGACCTCTCGGACACTTCCTCTTGAAAATTCTTTCCCACGTAGTGAAGATGGTTGAAATTAAAAAGTGTGTGTATATATATAACAATGTTTTTTTCTTCAAAATATTAATTCAGTATCATCCCTTCTCGAGTTCTTTACGCGTATCTAATATGTTCCCCAGTTTTTTCAGTTACAACGCGTGACGACGAAGATGACTTGGTCAGGATGACGTGTGATGCGGTCCACGCAAAGGACACGGTGTGTCTGACTGAGCTGGCTGGCTCGCACAGGGTTACGGACTTTGCTTTCGATTTGGTCCCCCGTTCTCGATTCCGATCCCGAACGAGCGAACAGCGAGCGAGTGAGCGAACGAACGAACGAGTAAGCGAATAAGGTGACGGTAGCGTGGTTGTCGCGTGCTGGATGTTGTTGGGTTGTCCTGTGGCCCGTGGCCCATGGCCCATGGCCCCAGCAGAGTAGGGTGCACCGATGCCGGGTTACGGAGAGTGGGAGCTACAAGGGTGGGCGGTCTTTCTACACGCCTTCTTCTAGAGCGCAGCACACCAGGGAGAGTCCTCGTGCGAACGGGCAACACCGTGTACTGTATAGCATGCCGTTCCGTTCCGTTTTCATCGCTGCGTGAAGTCACAGCTACGGGGAACGTTCCGTGTTTGATTGTTGTTACTTTTGTCGGAGGAGACATTAGACAGTCGGACCAGGGGATGATCCTAGGGAGAAAGAAAAGATTTGTTTATCGGATTGTTTTAGGGTGGATAATTTTCTTGGGGTTCATCCCAGAAGTAAATTTTTATTAGAATACCTTGTATATCGTAGATTTTTCGTTTCCAGATTTTTAACGTTTTTCACCCAATTTCATCTTTGTTAAGAATTTTTTGATTTTTTTTCTTTTTTTCAGAATCATTCCGTCGGATCTGGACTTTCTGGATTTTTAGGTTAACTCGGCTTGGTTTACTTAGATGTCATCTTGGACAGGTCAACCGTAATTTTAAGGAGGAGCCGTTAAGGAGCGTCTTGCCTGTTACAGGTTCCATAGAAATGTATATAAATTCAGAATCCTTGATTCAAAAATGTTAACCGTAACCAGATCGGATCATCGACCTGCGTAGGATATATACCAGTCGATCTTAACTTACCTGAGAATTCCCCCGCGTAACGTTTATCCCAGTATTAAAATCAGGTTCACATCTCCCAAGCCCTATTTGCATAATGAGTGTCGTCAATGTCTTCCTGCTACATCATACAAAATGTAGCTCTCCATTTCAAGCGCCATTTAATGGATTGAGTATCCGATGACAAATAAACACAAGGACCCTTCTTAACACCCTACACCGCTAACAACCCCCTGCGGAGTAATTGTATAGTAACAACTTGCAGCTCGTAGAAGGCAGGTTGTGCTACTTCACGGATCATCGCCTTTTAGGCCGACGGATTCATCCTTTGCGGTCTGCCAAATGTTGCCACCAGGTTACCCTCTGCTCTTCCTCTTTCGCTGGATGATTTATTGGCCGGTGCGAATTCTCTTTCGCTCTTCGCATACGCTTCGGCATCGTTCGGGCGAAAGTTAACGTTACTGCTTTTTATTGAACGGACTGATGAAAAAAGGAAAGAAAGGAAAAAATTTAAGACCACGCTCCTGCAGAAACCACTCTGAAAAATTGTCGTATCTTTCTCATTGACCCAAATGAACGTCATTAATCCACGTGCGGGTGATTAACGATTCTCAATTAATGATCGGGATTCGTATCTTACAAGACGATCCTTAATACCCGGCTATTCAGACCAAGCACAACCACCACGCATCCACTTCAGCTTACGAGTTCCTAGCCGCATAGTCTTATTGAGACGTATGGAACCGTCCGAAGTTGGTTCTGCCATAGAAATCAGAACTTCAGTTCAATTATCTACTTGATAATGACACATCGACCAGTAACAAGTATATTTAAAATATTTCTCATACGGGTAATTTACGTCTAATTCGACAGTACCTATACTGGGGTTGAACGCTGTGTCGCAACCCTTATCAGATGCCACGAAACAGACACAGGTCATAATAGCGTGGTAGTACAACGCCTAACGAGGAGGATTAGATCTGTGGGATTAATTTTTCATGATACATGGAAATGCTGGTGTATATACAAAATGGAGGATGGTTTAGGAACCCGTAAATGTCAGTTGTAGGTATCCAACCACGCATTAGGTGTCCAATAAAAAGGCAACAAAATGTCCGTGCGTAAACTCGTACAAAATTCTATAGTATTTCTTCATTATCAGGTATAATTATAACACCCTTGGTATTTTTCTTTGCTAAAATAACTGATCTTGCCAACTCACGATCACTCGTACGACGTAACTCAATACCAGTTACGCGGTCACGTAACACATTGGTAACATTGGATAAAGAATGGTGGATAAAAAAAATGTTTCTCTAAACTCAATATAAAAAATAGGATAATTATTATACCGAAAATTAAAGAGCTCGATTGGATCTAAATAATTTTATGTCCGATCGAATCGATCCGCGCGTAAAATATTTGTTCGGATGCTCAACCAAATAGAATCAGTCAAAATATCCAAGCACGAATTCTAAAAAGGTAATAATTTTAGGAAAGCATAAAAATACAGAAAAATCCTATCCCTCGAGTGCGCAGGGGCTTAAGGTCGATCTGAGAAAAAAATTTTCTTCGGGTACCATCAAGATTTGCGAAAAAAGATGTACTCGGTGGCTACAATTTTCTCAGTGCAATTTTACCCTGGCAATTTCGCCTAAACGTCTAGCAGGTGCCACTATGTGTTAAGGCCCGAAGAGATGAAGACTTTGGACACACTATATATTTTCATATAAATATTATAAAGCTTAGACCCGCTTTATCCTATATATCACGAAGGCCTACTCGATGAAATATTAATTCCGCGTGCGTCTTACAGCAAAATTGCACTTTAGGAAACGACTATAGCCTCGCTCAAAAAAAATAGACCGATCCATCCCGTCGCACCGGGAACCCGCTCGCAAGGTGCAGTTCATTTTTATGGGACATAAGAGTCATTACGATCGAAGGAGTCGCTATCGTTCTTTTAATAATCCTTAGTAGCCATCGGCCATACATGATACGATAGGCGGATAACTTAGCAAAGTAGCTCCTGCCTAAAACTATATTTCGCACGCCACGTGTAGATATCGGTACGATCCACATCAGTTCCCATAGCCACGTAAAACGAAGTCGTGTGGGAAAAGTGTCTTTCTTACCGTCTGTGACAATCTACCAAGTAATGTATATAGCTATAGGAGAGTTTAGTTACTGACATTTTCCAATCGTTAAAATTGATTAAAGGTCACCACGACAACACAATGGACATCAAGGTAAAACCGGTTCTTTTCATTTTCACAGAAATAGGATGCGCTCCCGTCAATTCCCAGGCCTGGGATCGATGATGAGTCCGAGCGATGATAATATCGCAGTTCCTGACTGGCCGATGACTCCCGCACAGATATAACCTCGCTTTGCCATTGGCTGGATAGAGCCGCATACTATATTAGAGGGGATTCTCCGATTGGAGAGACTTTGGAACGCCCAGGAAGGATGCGTAGCTGTTGGGACATGCGTAATGCCACTGTGTCGGAGGTCGAGGGTGTTCCGCGCCTGAGCTTATGTAACGATACATGGAACAGCCGGATCATCTATATAGTATATCTATATACCAAACCGTACTGCATGATAGTTGGAACCATCTGCATGATAGCTCTCGTGATAGTTGTTATAAATACATGAAAAAAAAAAAAAAAAAAAAAAAAAAAAAAAAAAAAAAAAAAAAAAAAAAAAAAAAAAAAAAAAAAAAAAAATTATTTTTCTGATTATGAAATACCTGCAGCAGGTTACTAATTATTTTTTTCTTGCTGTCGCAATATTCAATAATGACATGCTGTACTATGGCTTTGACAGTATTGATACAGTTAGATGTGTTCTTGGAATTGTCAACTCGTACACAGTACTTTCTGTAATTGGCTATAGTACTTGCAAGGGGCACTATATGGATATAGTATAGTTTCTGGTGCCTGAGACAACCGTCTATACTTTATATATTGATGTCTAATTGAGTCTAGATGGATGTCGTGGAATCGTGCCGAACAACAATAAACGTAACATGCAATTAGGTCGGACGACTCATAGCCGAAGCAGGTCCGCGACGATTATTTATCTGGGTAAATTGATACAATTATCGTAATAAATACTGGCCATGTAAAATATAACATTGACGGTAACGCATCGTTGTACGGGTGGGTGCGTGCGAGCGGACTTAACTGACATATGCAGAAGTGGCAAGGACATTGGTATTTTACATGATTAAATAAAGAAGTCTTCACGATGGGTCTGGGTTCGTCCGACACCGATGATAATTGTAAAATTGCTCTATTAGAGCAGGTGCCAATAACGACTTCTTTTTTTCGAGTACTTTCGTTATACAAATATTTGGGTATTTTCTCGTGGCGAAGTTCTAATGGTTTTTTTTTTTTTTTTTTTTTTTTT